AGTGACGTGCATTGCGAGTCCGCCGTCCGAGAATTCATACCATAGAACTTTAGCCTCAAGCATAATTCCCGCAGACGCCAAACCCCAACGATGGTCCATCATGTACAAAATAACTTGGGGATGGTGGTGTTCTACAGCTTTTTAGCCGTCATTAACTCAGCAGTGTTCGTTGCGACGCTGTTCCTTCGCGACAGCGGATGGATCATGGCCGCGACATCTGGTTTAGGTAAGGAGCTTACGGTGTGCAGTGAATGTTGTTTTGGCGCGAGACAAAACCACATGCTTTTTAAGGTGCTATCGCAGAATACTGGGTCGAGGTCAACACATAAAAGTGTAACTTACCTCCCAACACGTGGCGAGTGTCTTATATGTTCATGCTGGTGAATTCAGCGCATTGTATCTGCCCATCTAAGTAGTAGTACGATCATGACACAACGGCTCACGGTGCGCATATCTGTGTCATATATCGACACACGGCTGTTTGACAATCGGAAATTCGCCCGTATCATCAACGGCAATATATTGACAGATATGTGACGACCACTCCCAGGGAAATGTCTCCTGCTGGATTCCGCCCTTCTCCCCATCACCGTGTGTCGCCGTATCCTTGCGTGGGTTCGAGAGACGCCACTGCATGCCTTCTCCCCGTTGAACAACCACAGGAAGGTCCACAGAATCATAAGTCTGTCCGTGTGCATCATTTCCGTGGCGCACTCCGCCACGGCCATCGGGCATTATTGTGAGTATCTGTCCAGCTCAAAGGACAAACGGTTCTGGCACTACGCAGGCTTGCTTGACCGATAGGAAGCATCGCTGTCTTATATGGCGAGTTACCCTACTCGTTAGTGTTCCACCCTGGGGCATATTTCAAAAGGGTACTTTAGTGAAACCTGAGAACCAGTTACGTTTAATAAAAGCACTGGGTAGTGTCACTGCAGCACCACCAAGACATGGTAAGGATATCAATTTTATTTGTCTGGCGTCTAAATTACACTGTCAACAATTTGTAACACCACTACGCCTCTTTCCTGCAGTCGCGACTGCCACCTACATGACAACCACCAAGCGCATATCTAGCGGTGCGAATAAAAAGCGTCCGTGATTGGCCAAGCAGGCGAAGGCGTGTTACCGACAAACGCATTGGTCGAAGTTTGAGCTAGGGCGTCACATGGATCATGTGATACTTCCATTTCCAAAGCCAAAGTGCGCCGCGAAAGGAGCCACTGTAGTTAACACCATAGGGGAGGAATCAAAGCCATACTAGCACGCGTCGTTGAATTCGTGTGATATTAGCTTCATGTTCGCAATTAAATGTCCAAACACAGTGTTTCAAGCTTTCGTAGCACTAATTGCACAAAAATTATGGCACATTAGTGTGATGCAAACCTCACAGAATATACACGTTGGAAGAAGCCAGACGACTGAAATGCATTACTTTCATAGTGGTGAGCAGGGCGTGACATGAGGTTTCTTCCGTGGGGCGGCTACTTAAAATTGAACTTCTGAGCTATTCCGGATTTCGAGACAACTGGTGATAATGACCAAATCATACGTGTCTGATGTAATGATTAGTGGAAAGTACAAAAGGCGAGATGCTCCCATTAACTAGACTGGCAATTACGTAGCCGGGTAAGGGAGCGAACCAAGGAAACGACGCCTGATTGAACGAGCGCGGGTCCAATGCCAACCGTGCCATCGGTCCCGCCCGAGCCGCCTGCGCCCGATCAGCAACATTTTCCTCACCGGCGATGGTGGGCCGGCGGCCGCGGATGCTTGCTCGGACGCGGAGATGAAGGCCCCGCAGGCTCGCGTGGGCGTCATGGTGCCATAGTCACTAGCGGAGTTCTTGGGCGGCGCGTGGGCTGTCCGCGTCGGGCCAGTATCACCGGGACGCTAGTTAGCTCGCCGATGAGCAGGATGGCGTAGGCCTAGTGCGTGTGGGCCTTTGCAGGCCAGTGACTGGTCGTTTGGAAAGACCGAGTAACGAAAATATGGTGAGAGGGGGAAAAAAACATCCCTTCTAAAGAGCAAATCCAGGACAGAGCTAATCAGCTCTCTCCTGGCTTCTAGGCCACCGTTGAAGGGAGACCGCTGCAACACTGCCATGGCATTGAGCCGCAAAACACGCATGTCCGTAGTCAGCCCCCGCTAGGAAAATTCGCTTGCAACTGCTTCCCATGTTTCCGCCGGAACGGTAGCTGTAAAATGATCGAAAACCATTCATAGGTTCGTTTAAAGTGTTTGAAAATTCAGTGCGGTGATGCCTTATCACGCAATAAATCCACTTGATTGTATGATCGAACAGCGTAGCCTCGTGTGACATACCTACGCCGGAGAGCGCGTTCGCACCATACCGTTGCGAGGCACTGTGGGAAACTGAATAACCGTAGTTTAAGCCTGTCTCAGCGATAGGGGGTGGGGGAGGGGTGAGTGTCTGCAAAACACTAATGCGACATCTCAAGCTGTTTCAAAGCCAACTCGGAAAGACACACGCATGAGCCGTCACTAGCCGCTTTCAGTGTTGTACGCCATCCGAGAAATGACGCACGTCACGTGCGTTCGGTAGATGTGAAATCCAGAAAGCCAGGCAGCCCCTCCTGTTCAGCCTGCTCTTCCACACGTCCCCACCGCTTCGGCTGGTTGAACCTGGGCCTGCTGAACATCTCGGGCATCGCTTGCCTCGTCACAATGGCCATCATCGTCGCCACATCCCTGCTCCGGCACCACATGACCTTCCTGGTGAGATACCGGGGCAGTCTCGGGTCTGTGCGCAGATCGTATGGAACGCACACGCACGCGCGCGCGCACGCACACACACACACACGCGCGCACGCACGCACGCACACACACGCGCACGCACGCGCGCACGCACGCACGCACGCGCGCACGCACGCACGCACGAACACACACACACACACACACACCACACACACACACACACACACACACACACACACACACACACACACACACACACACACACACACACACACCACACACAGCACGCACGCACGCACGCACGCACGCACGCACGCACGCACGCACGCACGCACGCACGCACTATACACACGCACGCACAGCACACACACACACACACACACACACACACACACACACACCACACACACACACACACACACACACACACACACACACACACACACACACACACACACACACAAACCTGTCTTGAAACATTGTCTGGAACGTTATCATCGGGGGGGGGGGGGGCGGATACTAGCTTAAAGGGGTGATTTGAAGCGGCAGTTACGTGCACTAAGACTTAGTGTTGATGTGGACTTACCGCTTGAGATAACATGTGTGTTATTATGAGTGTTAAAAACGAGCCTGTGCCGGGCTGAACCATCAGCAGGTCCGCCTGCTATCGGCGAGAGTGCGTGCCTTCGTCCACGAGCAGAAGCGCATCTTGCTGCACCTGACCAGGCCCCCAGCTTGGGGCAGGAGCGCAGCGTCACACACCGCCCCGTACTCCGGCAGGCGTTCTTCCTGACGCACCAGCTGTACGTGGTGCTGTACGGCCTGATGATCATCCACGCCGGCAACTTCTGGGTATACCTGCTGCTGCCGGTGTGCCTGTGGTCGGCAGAGCTGTTGCTACGCTTCATCTATAGTCCGCGACCCTCCAACATTGTCGAGGTTACGCTGCTGCCGTCCAACGTGAGTGCCTGTCGGTCTGCGCTGGCTGCGTCCAGTTCCCCTTTCCGGGACCTAGCGGTGACTGTTGCTGCCATCTAGCGAGTGAGGGCAGCAACGACCGGTAGATGGAGCTCTGAGACGGATTGGGCAGGATTCACCGGAGACTGAGACGCGAGAGGCCAACAAGGGATCGTAAAAAGGACCATGAAATGGAACAGCATCTTGGAACAGGTGCATGAACCAACACCACGGCCTGCGGTCCTGATTATATGGCACCGCGCGTGGGAACCATTTGCTACTGGCGGGAATGCGCCCGATGAGTTACATCAGGATCAGACGAAGTGGGTCCGGTAGACTAACAATGTTTCGGCACACTGATGTGATGCCCTACTGCTTTCACGTTTCGAAATACGCGCATTTATTTCACAGGTGATAGTACTTGTCCTGGAGAAGCCCCCTCAAATGATCTTCAAGCCCGGCGACTATGTGTACCTCCAGATACCCACGATCGGCAAGTTTGAGTGGGTGAAATTCACTATAACCAGCGCGCCGGAGCAGCCGGGTATGCTTTTCCTATCCGACACTGTGTGCACGTCAGTCGCGCGGTGAACTATGTGCTTAACGGAAATGGCAAATGGCTATGAGCCTACAACAATAGTGATGCCGCAATCTTGACGTTCAGGTTCCTTGATCCTCTTAATTTTAATGTCACGACACGTAATAATACCGTCATGGAGTGCGTAAGCATATGGACTAATCATTACGCTATTGGCAAGACACCAGAGCACCCGCATGGAGCCGCAAATAAATTACATCACGCATGGAGAAGAGGAGAGGGATGGGTGTTTAGTGGACCGTAACTGAGGCGCAGCACGAGATGTGCGGCGCACGTCCAGCGGTGTAACGTTCAGCTCACGCGTCGATGCACAGCACGTCTTTAACAAACGTGTTGGCAGTGTAACCTGGGGAGGGAAGGAGCCCAGCACAACCAGCGCGGGGCCAGTGGCAGGGATTATAAATGACAAAAAGCGAGCCGTGTTTCATGGACGGCACCTATGTCGCTGCATTTCAGCGTCAAAGAACTTGGCCCTCGCAACATGTTTCGAAAGCTTTTAAGCTCTACTCGAAAGCTCTATAAGAACACGTGGACGCGAAGTGCATTAGCAGAACATTACGCAATGAAACGTCTTTCGAATCACCTTAATAACCTTCATCGAACTTTTGCTTGGCAGACCTGTTAACCGTCCACGTCCAGATTAAGAACAACTGGTCGTTTCGTCTGCGTAACTTCTTCCTCCGCGACGTTTCGTTCCACTACATCCCGCACCGGCTGCACGCGCTCGAGTCCATCACTGTCATCCAGAAGCTGGTCAAGTCCTGGAGGAACATGTTCGGCGGATTCCAGAACATCGAGGTGCCTATGGGCAAGCCCCGTGAAACGAGGAAAGAACGCCTGCAGCGGAATCAGGTGGGCCTCCAGCGGTCAAAGTATGCTGCTGGTAAATTAAAGTCCCGATCAAAGTGGATACTGTGGCAAAATATCCGGCTAGCTCGCAAAAATTACTGCGGTCCACCTGGATTACTGCCGCTACCTGCTGACGCTGTTAATGACCGATATGTTATCACTCACGTCTGCAGGTGGACGCGATGAAAGTGGAGGAGAAGCACCTGACGATGGACGTGGTGCTCTCGGAAGACGACCTGGCGCCAGAGCCCGAGCCCGAGCCGCCCCCGCCTCCGGCCGAGAAGGCGCAGCCGCCGGCGCCGGTCGCCAGCCAGCCCTCCAAATCGACCGCCGCCGCCGTCGCTGCCGCTGCCGTTGCCGCTGCCGCCGGCGCCCCCTACCATCACCACCACCGTCTCCGCCACTGCTGACGAGCCGGCGCAGCCAGCGCTCTCCTACACGGCCGCGCGGCAGCACGGCGACCCGTTCGAGTCGCACGAAGTGTCGCAGTTCGGTGGCTTTGCAGTACGGTACTCCGCCTACACGCAGAACTTCGGCAAGACGCTGCACTTCCGCGGTACGGTCGCACCCGGCCAATCGGCCGCCGACCGCGCCCGTTTCCAGAGCGTCAAGCACCACTCGCTCATCCCATCGCTGGAGGTGCGAGACGACGCCAGCGCGTCGATCGGCGAGCCGAGCCGCGAACCGTCACGCACGCGCGTGCCGCGGGCCGCCGCTGCCGGCCACCAGCCCCGGCTCGGAGCTGACCAGCGACGGCAGCGCCAGCCCGGCGGCGGCCGTCGAGCGCGTGCGCAGCGCGGCGCCGGTTGGCAGCAGCGTGCCGCGGCTGCCGCAGATCGGCGCCAGCCGGCCGGCGCTGTCGGCGCCGCCGCGGCGCCCGCCGGCGTCCGGGCTGGGGCCGCCTGCCGCGCCGGCCAGCGGCGAGCGCAGTTCTATTGCCGCCTCAATGAGGCAGCAGCGTGACGACGACGAGCGCCGCGATGCGGGCGACGAGAACGGCTGCCTGCTTGATAAAACGGTCAAGGTAAGGCAGGGGCGGGGGAGATGGGTCGGCGGCGGTCGAGGGCCCAGCGACTTCAAGCCCCGGTCGTCCCGTGACCGTTGTGAAGACACGCAAAACGCAGGTGCTCTAGTCAGACGACGGCGCGAGGCACATGCGCTCGGGGCGCGTACTCAGTATGCTCGTACTGCCGGCGCCAGGTGTTCATCGACGGGCCGTACGGCACCACGGGCAGCGAGCGGACGGGCATCTTCTCGGCGCGGCACGCCATCATCGTGCTGGTTGGCCCGGAGGTCGGCCCGTTCGCCGCCATCCTGCAGAGCATCCTCATCAGGTGTGCGCCCGTGGGGGGGGGGGGCGTCCCCGGAATGGCCACTGGTGCGGCGCCCTCTCGCGCGGCGGCCGCTCACGGGTGTGGCGTGATTGTGCTATAAGCGCGTTCTGGGCAGTACGGATGGGTGGATCAGGATCGGTCTTGGCCAGATAGAAACCAGGGATAACACGGACGGAGCGGAGATATTTTCCAGCCAGGCAGTCCGTGATACCTATGCTACTAACCATCACCGAGCTGAAAACAATTGGCAGAAAACAGCCGCATTAGAAGCGGCAGCAATGTGGAAGTCGAATACAAGTAGTATAACAGCATGTAACGATATATAACGATATACAACCAATATGCAAACGATACACATCACTTTGTCATGGCGCCATGGCACGACTACTTCAGGTATCGGTCCGAGATCGTTCCCTGTCCAAACTGCGCATGCGAGTTCAAGATGCAACTACCCAGCTCCTTCATGAACATCCGCAAGGTGAGCCTATCGAAATACACTCCTACTGGACGACTGACAATGATCTGCCGTTTGGATCTGCGCGCAAAAACGCACCAATCTTCTACCGGATGCCAGGTTGTGTTAAATGGGGACAGGGTGGAGCTAGGCACTTGGTTTGTATCAATACCTACCACAGCGTGAACAGTCACGGTGCGACATGGTTTACGATAGAAATGACACAGTGTGTCCTCAAGCGCCAGTATCCGAACAAAGCCCACAACGCAGGTGCTGACACGGTGTCAATGTGCGACGGTGCTGGAGGGGTCGTGTCTGCAGCGCGCCGCCCGCAGGTGGACTTTGTGTGGGTCAACTCCGACATGGAGGGGTTCGAGTGGTTCCTGGAGCTGCTGGACGACATGGACAACTACCAGAAGCGACGCAATCTGCTGGACAATTTCCTCAAGTTCTACCTCTACAGGACGGGCGTCAAACCGATGCCGTCCTTCACGCCACTGCGCCACCAGCTACATCAAGGAAAGCCACGCTGGGAGGATGTGAGTCCCCGGCCCTGGCGCCCATCCAGTGACATCCACTCACAATCGCAGCCCTTGCATGGTGATAATCGGTGTATGGTGAACGCCATACAACCTTCAGCGCTCGCCTTCGCTAAGCCTCTGACAATAACCGGCGTATGGGCGGCGTGACTCTGACAATAACCGGCACATGGGCGGCGTGACTCTGACAATAACCGGCACATGGGCGGCGTGACACTCTACCGGCGGAGCAGCAGCCATGCCTTTGCCACCTGAGGACGGATAGCCCATGCCACCACCCCCGCTCCCGCTCATTAAAAACTCGCAATGACGCCCGCCAGAAACAACGGCCACGGCAGTCCCAGTAACGCTCGATATCTTCTAATCAAACCGGTCGGAAACAAATCGATGTTCATCGTGCTAATGCTTACAACCAGTTCCGGCTCCATGTCGATATGATTTACGTAAAGGCTGGGAGCGGGATATGACCGTTAAAAACCCCATGTCTCCCCCAAACGCGTAAGTCGTGCCACGCCGCAGAGGTAACAGGGCCTGCGCCTGCTGCTCAGCTGCTCAAGCAGATCGTCGACAAGAGCAGCGGCGGCATAGAGGTGTTCTTCTCGGGGCCCAAGACGGCACGGAAGGTGGTGAAGAAGTCGTGCCTCGACATCGGACTCGTGTTCAACACCACGACCTTCTGAGGCGCGACACACGACCAGGCCCAGTCTCGTGCCGCCGTGCCGTCTGCCCACGGATGAGCGGCGGCGCCTCGCACTGGCGTGGCGTCGACCGTGTCAGTGGCGTGGCACGTGGGGCGTGGGACGTGCCGCTGTTTTCTGCGCTGTGAGCCGCGCGCGGGTCGCAACTACGCTGTGTGAAACGCCGTTGATCTGATGTTGCAACATGCTGATTACAGACAGTCTGGCAAAAACGCTGTATTTTACAAAGCACCTAGAACTGCACAAACAAATGCTCTTTCGCTGCACGCAAAGTTAGAAAGATTACCCTAACCCAACGACGCGGCATGACAGAAGAATTCAAAGGAAAGGATACATGTGACTGGAACTGCTAATCTAGCCGATAAAGGCTTCGATGCATGGACCTGCATGGCCTGATTGACAAATGCCATCAGCTGAGAAACTTTTTGTGCGAACTGAACCTCGAACGTCAGTGTTTTACTGCTCAACCACAGGACCTAAATTACATAATTCCAAAGGATGGCAGGAGTGACGATACTGGGCGATCGGTGGCATAGATACCCCTGGGCCCGAAACTACAACAACATAATGGAGCACTGCCATAATGGCGTGGCTACCCTAGACTACCCAAGCATGTGCCAGGCTACCAATGCCATTGTATTGCCAATCAGCCCCATGCACATCGACACTGTATCACAGAGCACTGCTGGGAGCTGAGAGGGACGCGCGACACGCGGTCTGGTGCAGCTTATGCATTCAGATCGAGAAGCGGGCACACCTCACAAGAGTAAGTACATCAAAACAAACATTAAACACATCCGATGCTGTGCGACCGTCAGCGGGCCGCGACGGGCAGCTATTGGTCAGTGCGCCACGAGCCGGCGTGGCGGTGACCCACGGGCCAGGGCCCACTCACCGGCGGCGCGGGCGGGAGGCAGCCGTGCGGAGAGGCGCGCGCGGCGACGTCACGACTTCCAGAAGTTGGGGTTCATCTCCAGCCGGCGCTGGAAGTTCTCGTACCACTTCTGCACCACGCTGAGCGCGATGAAGCACTCGGAGGGCGCCGGCGTCATCTGCGCCTGCGTCAGGCTGAAGCTGGACGCGTAGTTGACGAAGTTTTGCAGCATCTTCTGCGTGAACTCCACGAAGGAGGGCACGCTGGAAGGCTCGGTGGCGTTCGCCGGCGTCAGGCCGGCCACCTGCACCTCGGGCTCGACTGCGATGCCGACCTGCGCGCTGTGCGAGAACTGCTGCACCAGGCCAGATGGCACGGCCGTGGTGCCCGAGCCGCGCTTCAGCGATGCCACCTTAAACACAGCTGATGGCTTGCTGTTGGAGAGGTAGCCCAGATAGATCCATGTTGGTGGTGAGTTGGGCTCTGGCCAGCTGAAGTACACTGGGACACAGTGTTGGAGGTCACACAGCTGCTGCGTGCCACCTGTGTGTGTGCTGTTGTCTGACATCAAGGGTGCCATGATCTGAAGGACAGTCAGCTCAGCAACAGGCACAGCCATCTCTGACATGGTTTCAGTTAAACAGGAGAGTGATGGTACTGTGTGATCTGGTTGTCTGAATGAGCTGATTGCCATGAACAGCCTAGTTATAAAACATGCATCAAAACCTGCAACAAAGCACAACTGGCATCTGATCACTACATACATGTTCCAGTAAGATAGCACAGAATGATGCTAAGCAGATGAAGGTATACTGCTCCCTAGTTTATACTGCAAGCAATGTCATTGAATTTGTGGCAGTTCAATGCATACAAATAGGACAAATAGAAGATTTGTGGTTTGCTGCACCTACTGCAAAATACTCATCCATAATGAGCATATCAGTTCCACATTTAAGCGGCATGAGGCTCCACTAGGATTCTGAACTAACACAGGTCTGGTTACTCACCTCCTGCTGCCATGTCATTGGGGAGAGGCTGGGATCCTGTGAGAAATACAACAATGTGCCTGATGTCATCTGCCTCTTGAACAGTGATGACAAAGTGGGTCTCATCCACCACCTGGAAGTCCGTGCTTACCAAGCGGCCAGCCACAATCATACCAAACACTGAAACAGCCATCTTATGTTCTGAATGTGACAGGATCTGAAATGTGTGATATTGTTATCAGAATATTTGATAGCAACAGCATGCATTGAAAAATTATACAAATCATATTACTGATAGCCAAACCACACACTCGAAAATCAGAGCAACAGGACCTTTCTGAGAACTGATCAAACTTTAATCATAACTGAATCTAAGGAAATTCATCAGGCCAAGTGACTGTAATATTTAGAATAAGACTTCTTTAAAACATTGAGATGCCTTCAAGTCAGCATTAACATACTGCTGAGGAATTCAGTTCACCAAAAGGTTTGCTGCCACGGCCATCCATGTGGCTGCTCAGCCCCTACACCACACACTGCATCAAACACTATTTTGATCATGAAAAGTAGCTTGGAACATTCCAGAATGCATGCAGGAAAGTCTTAATGCAGATTTTAAGACACTTTTACTGTTCAACTTCTCATGTTTATAAACTGCTACACCAGGCATTCAGCAAACTAGGTAAAAGTACAAAGTCCTGCAAAAACAGCTTTGAATATAAATCTGAGTGAATGCAACCTCCCATGCGTCTGGCCACAAATTGGTGTGCACATAACGATGGAAATAAAGCAGTACAATGATATAATGATAAGCCAAAAGTAAGGATTTGAGTCTGGAACTCAGAAATATGCTCACTGCCCCACTTGTTACCTTGAGGCAATCACGCCCTAATGCCCTGAACCCATCAGTCAAAACTCTACACAGATCCAATCCAACTGCAACTGCAGCCATCAACAGCCCAACAGCCAGCCCAGCAGAAAAAAAAAACTCAAAAAATTTGACAGCTCGTCCCGATCCGGGATCTGGCGCCAGCACTGAATTTGACCCAACTAACATGATATCTCCCCAAAACCTAAGACTTGCAGATTATTGGAATACGTCCTGCATACCTCTTCCAGTCGTAATAATAATGTCAGCCACCCTTTAAACCTTTGCTAGCTTTCAGCCTGATCTGAACCACGGCCGGCAGCCTCAGCATCTAACAACTATTACGGACCCCCGCCCACCAACACGCACTGCACAATGTGCGCATTCGTTTACAAATTTTCCAGCTATTGTTTACATACTTTTATAGTATAAGCCAGTAGCTTATACTATATATGTGTGCTGTGCTAGTACCACTGCCAGGTGGTTTCTAGTAAAAGGTATTTCTGAAGTCTTCAAAAATCGATTTGATATCAATCGCAATCTATGTAGAGCACATTTTGCGAGGGAACTTGCTTTAGCGACTGCAGGAAGAGACATACTACGGTATGTTTTCTAGGTTCTTTCATGCCTTTCATACAATTTGCTCAATAACGACTACTGCATGCTGTTACACTAACAAATTGAGGCAATGCGGTCATAAGTTGATAATTTGCAGCGAATCAGCCATGAAAAAGAGTGACTGCCATGGAACTTCAGCGGCAAAATAGCTGACAAGAGATTGCTTTAAAGAAACCCCAGATAGCTTTCTGCAACAATCACAAAAGTGATGCGAATGATCGAGGCAATAGCCTCAGAGGGCTCGGTGCATAGCGGCCCTATGTCATTTTGAGTCGGGCGCTGGGGGAGTCCAGGGAGTGGTCTGGGATGAAATGGGTTCCATCGCGGGGTTTTCTTGACAATAGATCTGATCGATGGGATGTTCACGGTTTTGAGCTACAAAATAGGGAAGCGTTTGAACTCCTGGCTGTTCGTAAAGGAGGCCGTGTGCCCAGGTATGTAGCACATACGCCGGTACGAAATGGTTCAGCGGGCTGCGCGCCTCAACTCGTCCTCACCCGGTCCTTTGCCTTTCCCTCCCCTGGACCTGTGAAGGGCTGCATGCAAAACAAGACCAGCTCATGGCCTTTGCATCATCCTGTCATCCAAAACCGAAGCAGAGCATCTTGAAATGTGTGGCTTTTTAGGTAAGCGGCTTTTAAGATCATGTCCTTACTTTTTGAATCAGCGGATTTTTAGGATCAGGGCCCATAGTAGGCAGTGCTTGTATTAGTCCTGGACCCTTTCATCTGCTTGTGAAATTCCAGGTCAACAGCAGAATTTGGGGGCATAAGTTAATCACACCACAATGCATGATCCATCTTTCCTTCTGACATCACTTGAGCTGTTGTGTGGCAGCTGCCACAGGCCATAGGCCATGTCAGTCAACAATAAAAAGTGATTACTTAAAACAACTTGAACCTACCCTACCAAATGCATCTAGAGTTGGACGGCAGGCACTCTAGCCAAATAAGCTATCAGTGTGGACAATCTTGTATAACTGAAAGGAAAAGTAGGAGATTCTTGATCTGGTTTTGTTTAAAGGCAAACTCAGCTATCACAAAATATTGCCTCTGATCATTGGGGATTTATGATGCATTATGCATTTGAGGCTATATGGCATTGCCTGTATCTCAACGTGGCAGGAAGGGTGAGCATAGTTGTGGTGATAGGAGGGTGGGGGAATGGAGCCACATAACTCTAGTTCTATGCAGCTTGACTGCTACACTTTTGCCTTGCCTTCTTAGAAGGTTATGCTGTGATCCACATACTATAGCTCTGGGTTAAGCATTATTTATTATATATATATATATATATATATATATATATATATGTGTATATATATATATATATGTATATATATATATATATATATATATATATATTCAGTATTTTTTGCTCATGCATAGCTTTATCCACCCAAGTCATCCATATTACCCAGTACACAAAGTATTAAATTTTCTCAAGCTGTTTGTGTATCTCATCCTTGAGTGGATCTAGAATGTCTTGCATCCCATTTGCATGTGTTGCGTGCTCTGTTTATCTATGTGACATGTACTGATGCTGTGTTAGAATAGCCACTCGCTGGATTTCGCTAAGGTTTGCAACAATAATAATAATAATAATAACATCATCATCATCATCATCATCATCATCATGCCATCTTGAGAGAGAGGCAATTTAGGGAGGGAAGGGCCAAAGAACAAAAGGGATGTCCTAATTCAAAACCTACAAAGTTGGGCAATTTGTAATGTTTTGCCTGACTAGTCATGTGAGGGGTCATGGTTTGGTTGCACTCCCTGTTTGTGCCCCAGGGCTCAGCATAGTTCTAACTGGGGAGGCGACATTACACTGCCAGGTGGACACATTGGTGGGGGGGGGGGGGGGGGGTACAGCTCTTCATGTAGAGACTTCTTAAAGGGGCTGGTGTATCCCGATGATCCTCAAGACATCCTTCAGCTGAACAGGTGCATCACCAAGGCAGGCAGGAGATCAGGGCTGAACTGAGACATGTGAGAGAACTGTCATGTCTGTCCCAAAAAGGGAGGAGCTGTGCTTTGCTTTGAATGGCTCATATCAGTCACATACTTATGGGGGTGGGACCTCACAATGTGCCAGTATGATGGTAGATTGATGATGATGGTGGTGAAGGCTCTTGAATTGTTTGAGAATGTGCTGACCCAATTGTGTTAGGTGTCACATGGCAACTCAAACATTGTGTGGCCATTGGGGCCGGGGATTTGTGGTATCCAGCCATGTAATAAGTTTTGTCTTTCAGCCATCCAAAAGTTTTGATGAAAAGTATTAACCAGTTGGAGAATCAGCTTTCAGTCTAGCCCATCAGTCCAGTTTGCTGTGAGCTTGGCCAACTTTGCATGGTTCATAAGGAAAGAAAATGTTGTGAATAGTCCAAAGTTCTTGCTTTAGTTAATTAATATTCAGTCAGAATACTTGTATTGCTTTAAGAAAGGGAATTTCATGACATTAGCCATTTCCAATCTGCATTCACTTGTATGGTGTGCTGTGAATGAAAACCCATACACTATATTGTCATCACCAACATCATCCTCACATATTTGCCTCTCTGCATGCATCTGTTGAAAACATTGCTGGTTAGTGAATAATAATCTGTCATGCCCTTTCAGATTGTATTTCAGCTGCCCTGGACTGAGAACAGTGGTTATCAAGAATGGTGAGTTAAATGAGTGCCCGCATGTTGTTGGCAAATGTTAGGAAATCAAACACCATACCTCAGGTGCATTAACCACTACACTGTTGGCAGCCTTAAGAGTATTTCTCCCACAGTGCTTGTACAAAAATGTTCCTGGAATGTTTGTGTGAACAATAAGTTTTCTGTACTTGATAACAACTTGTATGTCCTCTAATAAGTATTGTGTCATTACAGTATGAATCTTCATGAAAACATTCATATGAAAACCACATCATTTGTTGAAGACTTAACAATGGATAATGTTAACTTTAGAATCGCATGGATTCCATCAACACCCTCGCTCAAGAACATCAAGATGCACATATTGCTAGGTTAACAAAACTGGTCCATCTGGGGAAGTGGACTAGTTTAGTTGTTGTTGTGGGTGTTTGCACTGCTCATTCACATGTTTGAATCTTCTTTCAGCCGCGAGGTCCGAAATCAGCACATTCTGAGAGCGTGAAAGTTGTTCTGCGATGTCGGCCCCTGAACAAAAAGGAAGTCGCCAGTGGCTATGACACGTAAGCATGACGTATGAAACACTCCACACAAAGGCTTAGTTAGGTCATACAATTTCATGAGGTGCATCGTCAGTGTCAGCTTGAGATTACGACGGCTCCGTGAAATCAGGCTGGATCCCAGCATTCTAGGTGAAAAAATTGACACTGATATTGATAAGGCAAGCAATATATGTTATTTGTGGTGTTTTGTATAGGGCGATGTTTTTGACGAGCGTGCGCTAGAAAACTACCGTTTTTGATTGAACTAAAAATGACCATGACTTAACTATCACTTTGAGATGTGTTACAGGTCATAACAGGCAACCTTTGTTCCTTGACCTTTATGCATGCTGCTGTTTTGATATCACTGCTGCAGTCTCGATGGTGTTTTCGGAAGATCGGCTTGAACCATCGGATGAGTGCTCCCGTTTATCGGTCGTCGTACATACTTTGCTCCCTAAGTCTACATTTTCTCACCGTGGTCTTTTCAGAACGTTGGAGATAGATTCTAAAAGAGGTCACATCACGCTTAAGAATCCGAAGAACCCAAATGAATCTCCGAGGGAGTTCACCTTTGATGCAGTCTACGACTGGAAGTAAGCGAGTGCATACGAATGTGAGGATGTGTGAAAGGTGGGACCTCCATGTGGTCGTGGCCTGATATGGAGGAGCTCACAAGCATTGGTCGGTCATATTCCTGCTCATAGTATTATGGGTAGTCCTTTATAACACCAAATAACAGACAATTATGCATGTCCGGCACGAGAGACGGAAGTCAATTAATGACTTAAAGCTTCTGGTGTTTTGTTATCATCAATCGAGATGCAGTGTCTAATTCCAGCCACATGGATTTGAAGTGCCATAGTTTTTGTCAATGGCAATCACATCAATAGCCTTAACAGTCATGCACCAATAAATGACCCAAACCGACCATATCCGGTTTAGGGTGATTGAAGCCTACCTTTCCGCTGTCATCACCCCCTAAGCTGCGCCTGACCTGCCGTCGCCCTCTGAGCTGCGCCTCACCTGCTACCACCCCCTGAGCTGCGCCACCATCCCCTGAGGTGCGCCTCACCTGCCGTCATCCCCTGAGCTGAGCCTCGCCTGCCGTCATCCTCTGAGCTGCGCCTCGCCTGCCGTCATCCCCTGAGCTGCGCTGTCATCCCCTGAGCTGCGCCGTCATCCCCTGAGCTGCGCCTCACCTGCCGTCATCCCCTGAGCTGCGCCTCACCTGCCGTCATCCCCTGAGGTGCGCCTCACCTGCCGTCATCCCCTGAGCTGCGCCTCACCTGCCGTCATCCCCTGAGCTGCGCCTCACCTGCCGTCATCCCCTGAGCTGAGCCTCGCCTGCCGTCATCCTCTGAGCTGCGCCTCACCTGCCGTCATCCCCAGAGCTGCGCCTCACCTGCCGTCATGCCCTGAGCTGCGCCTCACCTGCCGTCATTCCCTGAGGTGCGCCTCACCTGCCGTCATCCCCTGAGGTGCGCCTCACCTGCCGTCATCCCCTGAGCTGCGCCTAACCTGCCGTCATCCCCTGAGCTACGCCTCACCTGCCGTCACCCCCTAAGCTGCGCCTCACCTGCCGTCATCCCCTTAGCTGTGCCTGACCTGCCGTCACCCTCTGAGCTGCGCCTCACCTGCCGTCACCCCTGAGCTGCGCCTCACCTGCCGCCGCCGGCGGGGCCGTAGCTCACCCTCTGACGCCGCCGTGCGCAGCTCGACCCAGGTTGACATGTACGACGAGACGTTCCGCCCGCTGGTGGACTCGGTACTGCAGGGCTTCAACGGCACCATATTCGCCTACGGCCAGACGGGCACCGGCAAAACCTACACCATGGAAGGTGGGCGAAAGGTCGCGCCGCGTCGGCCCCATCAAGTCACCGCCGGGGAAGTGAGGCGTTCACGCTGGCCGTATTATGTCCGGTTCAGGTTGTGCAGTGGAACGTTTTACATGCGCAGATGCCCTCACCTCGTCTGCCCCAGTTGCGTTATTTGTGGACCGTTTCTCAGATCCGTATGTGCTCAGCCGTTCATGTGTCGGAGCTTTCGGATTAGGTACTTCGTTCAATGTGCGCCCTGCACTGAGTCCTGGACGAGCCCAGCCGGCCGCGGCGCGCTGCGGACGGGCTCACGGCCCGCCATGTCCGGCAGGCGTCCGTGACGACCCCGACCAGCGGGGCATCATCCCGCGCTCGTTCGACCACATCTTCAGCCACATCGAGCGCTCGGAGAACTGCCAGTACCTGGTTCGCGCCAGCTACCTCGAGATCTACCAGGAGGAGAACCGGTACGACCCGGCGGATGGCCGCGCGTGATGTGCGTCGGCGGCCGGGAGACGCGCGCGGGAGCGTCGACGCACGATGTTCTGGCGAGAGGCTGGTGCACCTGCCGCTCGGGGATACACGCTGGGTCCTGGGATGCGCGATGTTTGGCGCTCGTGACTTGAGAAAGCAGGCATAGTTACCACGCTCAGAAGGTGCTCGCATCCTTTCATTCCGCGGTGTGAGTAGTTTGGGCGCTGGGGTATGCAGAGCACGCGGAAGTTGAGCCGGCTGTACGTCACAGCTTAATAACCGCGGGATGATCTGTAGGCAGGTGCAGTTACCACAAGGGCTCGTGGATATCCGTGATACGCCGCCGTGCTGGTCTGATGTCCCTGCTGGCCCTGCCCAGTTGTGGCCCTGCGGTACTACGCTGCTGACGGCGACGCGCTGGCCGCCGGCAGAGACCTGCTGAACAAGGACCAGCACCAGCGACTGGAGCTGAAGGAGCGGCCCGACACGGGCACATACGTCAAGGACCTCTCGTCGTTCGTCTGCAAGAGCGTCAAAGAGATCGAGCACGTGATGGCCGTGGGAAACGCGAACCGCAGCGTGGGGTGAGCGGCGCCAGGTCGTGCGACGGCCGCTGTCGGCCGCGTCCGGCACTGGTGCGCCGTCCGCGAGAGACGTGGAGACTCGCGACAGCTTGGCCGGCCTCTGCCGTTGCGGGTAGGATGTGTCATGCGCTTCGTTGGTGTAGACGAGATCGAGTGAAGTGTTGGAGAAGATATTCTCTGACATTTCGAAGAGTGGTTTTCCCGCGTTTGCTCTTTGTGAGTCAGTTCAATGAAACAAGGTTGGAAGATCGGGGTTGGGGAAGTCTGCAATCCTGCTATTCTGCCGACAGGGCGACGAACATGAACGAGCACAGCTCGCGCTCGCACGCCATCTTCCTGGTAACGGTCGAGTGCAGCGAGCTGGGCCTGGACGGCGAGCCGCACATCCGCGTCGGCAAGCTCAACATGGTGGACCTGGCCGGCAGCGAGCGCCAGGCCAAGACCGGCGCCTCGGTACGTCCCGCGTCGGCCACCGCCGCCGCCGCCGCCGCCTGGCGGGCCCTGTCCGGCGCCGCGCCGCCCTCGCCGCCGCACGTACGACCCCGTCGCCGTACGTGCGATCTCCACCACCGCGCGTGCGACGCCCGCCACCGCGGGTGCGATCCCCGCCGCCGCGCGTGCGACGCCCGTCGCCGCGTGTGCGACCCCCGTCGTCCCGCGCGCGACCCTCGTCGTCGTGCGTGCGACCTCCGTCGCCGCGCGTGCGAGTTCTGCCACCACGCGTGCGACCAGCGCGGAATGTGGCCAGCCGCTGGCGTCCTTCGGGCGCGTGAAAAAGGCGCCGTTGCGTGTGTTGTGGACGCCAGGAATTATAACGTTATAGAGTGTGTGCTGACTCTTGACGACTTCGCACAGTAATTGTGTTGTTCTTGCTTCCGCCCTGCGGTCCAAACCGCGGTCGTAGCTTTTGGTCTGGGAGTTTTCCCATGTGAGGCTGTGCCTAGCTTGTGATGGGCTATGCCTCTCCAGTGATGGCTGTTTTGGGACGATGGATGATGGCACGATGAAACCCTCACGCGCCGTGTGTCAGCCGGCAAAAGATCGGGCGGCAGGGACAACATCGGACGGGCACCAACGCCGCGTGTGTCGTGTCTGGTTCCAGGGCGAGCGGCTGAAGGAGGCCACCAAGATCAACCTCAGCCTGTCGGCTCTCGGCAACATCATCTCGGCCCTGGTGGACGGCAAGTCCTCCCACATTCCATACCGCGACTCCAAGCTCACCAGGCTGTTTCAGGGTGCGTGACGTGCTGCGTTTCTGACTAGCTCCCACCGTTGTTGTTGACAACGCGTGCACTGTATGGGACTCGTGCAACCCTTGATCACTGTTTGTTGTTGATCGAGCGGCAGGATTATCGTGCCTGTCCTGCTATGGGGTTTGGATGTGGAGGGGGGGGGGGGGGGGGGCGCTCCATCTTAACCTGCCAGTCGCCTCGCATTTGTTGGCTATCACCTGCGCTAACGCCGCGTGTTATGCTGGAGGCGTGCGGCCGCGTGCACGAGCGCCCCGCTCTGCGCTGGTGCGACTGGCCTTAGCGGCGCTGACGACAGCTCCGTCGCAGACTCGCTGGGCGGTAACGCCAAGACGGTGATGGTGGCAAACATCGGGCCGGCCTCGTACAACTACGACGAGACGCTGAGCACTCTGCGATACGCCAACAGAGCCAAGAACATCAAAAACAAGCCCAAGATCAACGAGGACCCCAAAGACGCGCTGCTCAGGGAGTTCCAGGGCGAGATCATGAAACTCAAGGTAGGTGGCGAGGGAATGTTGATAGGAGACGAATGTTTATGATGAAGGTGCAGTTGCCCGGACGCTCCCACCATTGTGTGTGGGGACTTAGCAAGTTGGTATTTGCCAATTGTTCTCGGAAGGCAGACAGAGGGGTCTGCTTAGTGCAAGGCCCAAAACTCAGAGACGCTTACAGGCGCAGGGTTTTGATTTGTCAATGGTTAGGGAGAGGGTGGGAGGAGATTTGTCAATGGTTAGGGAGAGGGTGTGAGGAAATTTTTCTGTGGTTAGAGAGAGGGTGGGAGGAGATTTGTCAATGGTTAGAGAGGGGGTGGGAGGAGATTTGGGAACAGTTTGGGAACAGACGTGAATGGTGACGTTGAGAGTTCCTCCATGAAGTATCTTGCTGGTCACAGTCTCGATCCAATGACATGACTTCCCGTGGCCTGCGGTGGTAGTGTACAAATAACCGCCCCGGTCCCCATCCCGCTCATGTTGCACGCCTGGAGCGACCTGTCGCGCCGCCCTCCGACGTTCGTCAGCGGACAATCGACCAAACGGTCCGGCCGGAGACAGCGCCCCCGCCGCCGTCCCACGAGCGCCAGTCGAGCTGCCGTGCTCTCGAGACGGAGGGAGGCCGCTCCGCTGACTCGGGGCGTGTGGCCTGAGGCGGTCCGGCCGGAGACAGCGCCCCCGCCGCCGTCCCACGAGCGCCAGTCGAGCTGCCGTGCTCTCGAGACGGAGGGAGGCCGCTCCGCTGACTCGGGGCGTGTGGCCTGAGGTGGTCCGGCCGGAGACAGCGCCCCCGCCGCCGTCCCTCGAGCGCCAGTCGAGCTGCCGTGCTCTCGAGACGGAGGGAGGCCGCTCCGCTGACTCGGGGCGTGTGGCCTGAGGTGGTCCGGCCGGAGACAGCGCCCCCGCCGCCGTCCCTCGAGCGCCAGTCGAGCTGCCGTGCTCTCGAGACGGAGGGAGGCCGCTCCGCTGACTCGGGGCGTGTGGCCTGAGGCGGTCCGGCCGGAGACAGCGCCCCCGCCGCCGTCCCTCGAGCGCCAGTCGAGCCGCCGTGCTCTCGAGACGGAGGGAGGCCGCTTCGCTGACTCGGGGCGTGTGGCCTGAGGTGGTCCGGCCGGAGACAGCGCCCCCGCCGCCGTCCCTCGAGCGCCAGTCGAGCTGCCGTGCTCTCGAGACGGAGGGAGGCCGCTCCGCTGACTCGGGGCGTGTGGCCTGAGGCGGTCCGGCCGGAGACAGCGCCCCCGCCGCCGTCCCACGAGCGCCAGTCGAGCCGCCGTGCTCTCGAGACGGAGGGAGGCCGCTCCGCTGGCTCGGGCGTGTGGCCTGAGGCTGGGTCATTGACCAGGCTTGTGACGGTCGCCTCATGCTTGACCTGACCCGATATCGTGGCCTTTATCCAGACGCTTGAGTGGCCGGTGTGGTGGCCTCGATCGTGCACTTTTCCTAGTTCCTGCCTTAAACGGTACCCTAATCCTTGACCCGCGCATGACCTGATCCGAGACCTGCCTGACCGTGACAGTTTGACCTGACCGATGACCCGTCCCGCGCGTCAGGCACAACTTCGCGGCCGGACCGGCGGCGGCGACAAGTGGCGCAGGCGGCGCGCTCGCGGCGGCGGCGCGGACGGGGACGACTCCGAGCCGGAGCTCGCGCCCGAACAGCATCTGGAGCAGGAGCGGCGCCGGCTGGAGCAGGAGCGGCGTGCCATCGAGGACGACCAGAGCCTCATCGCCGAGGTACGCTCCCCCCCCCCCCCCCCCCGACCTTGTGTGCGTGGCGCACGAGGCCGAGGTGTGTGGTGCACACCCAGCTGGGACGGGTTTGACGTGGTGCCGTCAGCAAAGGCCGCGATCGACGCGTGGGTCGGCTCCTAAAGAAGATCGGGCCATGCCGTTGCTGGCGCCCTTTCACGAATGGCGGTGGCCTGGTTCGTCTGACGCAGGGCTGCTGAGTGGGTGTCTGCTGCCTGCCATGTCTGGGTGTCGTGTGCCGCCATGTGGTGGCTCGTGCTGGAGCGGCGCCGTTTCATCTGGCGTCCCCCGGCGGCTGTGGCAGGACCGTGAGCGGCTGCTGCGGGAGCTGCAGCTTCAGGACGAGCAGCTGGAGCGCGAGCACCAGGCGCAGGAGCGGCTGGCCGCCAAGATCCAGGCCATGGAGTCGAAGCTGCTGTCCGGCGGCAGGACGATCGCTGACACGACCAACCAGCAGCAACGTGACCTGGAGCTCAGCCGACAGCGCATCTCCGAGCAGAAGGTACGCCAGCCCGCCCGCCGGCCCCGCGTGGCGCAGCAAGCACCCTGATGTCGGTCGATTGGGGATGTGAGTCCAAAGTGCGTCTCGTTGCTGAAAGGATCTACTTGTGTGCCGGTTCCTGGGCTGTTCGTGTTGTGGCTGCTGGTGGTGCGAAGAAGCTGCGTCTTACCCTGCGTGCCGGCCCATGCTCCTTTCGCAACGCCCGTGCAATGACGAACAGTGCTCTGTAGTGATCCGATGGTCCTTATCGTGGCAGGCACGGGAGCGGGAGATGCTGCAGCGGATAGAGGAGCAGGAGGTCTCGCGGCTGGACATGCAGCAGACCTTCCAGTCGCTGCAGCAGGAGGTGGATGTCAAGACCAAGAAGCTGAAGAAGCTGTTCAACAAGCTGCAGGCAGTGAAGCGCGACATCCTGGACGCGGGGGATGAGTTTCTGGTCGAACGCCGCGAACTGGAGGAGACGCAAAACTCGCTGCTCAAGTAAGCCTCACCGTGTCCCTCATGCCAGCTGACGTCGGCTGGTACCAGACGTTGTGGGATACTGTTCAGTGGTGAAGTCCTGTCGGCCAGATGATGTGGCCTACGGCAGGCGCTTCAACTGCTCGGGAACTGAACGTCGAGACCTGCGTAGAAGGCTGTTGGAATTGTGGCTCGCATTCGTCTTGTGTGCATTAACGTCGAAAGGTTTCGCGTTATGATAGGCTTGATGAGAAGCGCTGGTGCATTACAAAATACATCTTAAATGCATGCGTCTACGTAGTGTCGTCATGCACGTAGCAAATGGTATGCATGAGCACTGTGACAAAGATGGTGTAGAAATATCGTGGGCGGTGCTCCGAAGCTGACCACGCTGGGGTTTCTGAGGCTGTGGCACGTTCATGGCCAGGCAGCAAACGTCCGCATGTTCTGAGAACGGTTGCATCTGTGATGAGAACGGAAGTCCGAATGATTGCTTCATCGCATGAGTCTGCGTGTTTTGTTGTGTTTTTTGTTGAGCTTTTCAATATAGCCCGCTCGGTGCTCGCCTGAAGGGCGATTCGTTCATGCCGGGACCGGACGACACTGGATACTGCCTTCTTGCGCACTCCCGGTATTCTGTTCCCACGCCCCACTGCCCCTTCTCCGTCGCCCCCCCCCCCCCCCTCCCCCTCTGTCTGCTCCTCTCTCGATGTCTGGGTGACGTCAGCGGCTGGCCGCCAGAGAGCTCAAGCTCAAGTGCCTGATCCTGGAGAACTTTGCGCCGGCTGAGGAGCGCGCCAAGCTGCTGCGGCGCGCCACATACGACGACGACGAGGAGCGGTGGCGGCTGGCGGCGCGGCCGGCCGTCGCCCAGCTGGCCGGCCGGCCGGTGAGCGCGCGCGGCACGCGCCGGCCCGTCTCCGAGTACGCCCTGCTGGCCGGCTCCGTCACCGGCGCCACCCGATACAAGGTGAGGCTGGTGCCCTGCCCTGGCCCGCGCCGCCCGTGCCGGCTGAGAATGCCGACTTGGGGTCAGGGTGCCGCGCTGTGCAAGGTCGGGAGCTGGCTCACCGGCCGGATGTGACTCGGGGCGATGTGCAAGTGCGCTGCAAATGTTCTTAAGATGTTTGCGTGGAGTTGAAAGTTCTTATGTGTGGAGTCAACGACCTTCAGTACACCAGGAGGTTCTGTTTAAGCGACGCTGTAATGATATGTGACAGTGATATGGACGGTATTATATGCTGTGATAAAAAACACGGAAAAAATATTAGATCATATCTCTTGAGTACGGTCAATATGTAAACGGTATTTAGCATTGCAACTTAGTTTAGATGGTAGCTCTACTATATCAAAGCTCGTTAACTCAACTTTTGTGCTGTCATTTCGTAATGCGAGAGAGCCAGGCGCTGAGGGATTTTCTTGTGTCACGAGCTGTGTGTGCCGATCAGCCTCAGGCACGCCTGCGGATTGTGTTCGGCGCCGGGGTCTCGCTTGGTTAGTGACTCGAGTGATAGCTGGTTCCTGCGCGCCGCTCGCCCCAGCTGGTCGTTCTCACTCCCACAGAGGTCCGCAGTCTGGACAGCGGCCTGACCAGTTCGCCGCAGGAGGCGGCGCCGTGTGTTCCGGGCTGAGCACTGCCGGCCCGTCGGCCCTGATCAAACCGATTCCTATGCACCGCAGGGTGAGAACATCATGTGCATGGAGCTGGACCCGCCGGCGCGCACCACGCGCGACTACCAGGGCCCGCTGGTGGCGCCGCGCTTCCAGGCGGCGCTGGAGGCGGCGCTGACGCCGCAGGAGCACGAGATCAGCGTCAGCGCCGCGCCGGCCGCCGCCGCCGGCCGCTTCCGGCTGAAGGCCAGCCGCGCCGAGCCCGCCGTGTATGTCAGGGGAGGGGGCAGGGGGGGGGGGGGGGCAGAAAGGCGGCCAGCTTGCTAGGCGGGGATGAGGTGTGCTGCGTCTGCACGTGATCACTTGCGGCGGAGTTGTGAGGGTTGGGCTTCCTAGTGTGGCATGGTGCGTATTGGTGAGCTTTCGAGGGTAGGCGGTGGTTACACTGCTGCACTGGCTTGCATTAGTTTTGGCACAATTCAGCGGATGCGCTTGTATGTCGTCCATGTGATGTCTGCTGAGAGGTGTGCGCTCCCGTCGTTGCGTGCTCTGACGTGGGATGTCTGCTGACATGTGTGCACTCCAGTCATCGCGTGCTCTGACGTGGGATCTCTGCTGACATGTGTGCGCTCCCGCCGTTGCGTGCTCTGACGTGGGGTCTCTGCTGACACGTGTGCGCTCCCGTCATCGCGTGCTCTGACGTGGGATGTCTGCTGACACGTGTGCGCTCCTGTCGTTGCGTGCCCTGACCTGGGATGTCTGTCTGCAGGAGTAAGCCAGCCCGGCGGCGGCCGGCCAAGGCGTCGGCTCCCGCCAACCAGTACCCACAGTCCCGCGGCCTGGTGCCCAAGTAACGGCAGCCGTGGAGCCCGCCTCTGTTGGCGGTGCGGTGGGGGGGGGTGCGGGCGTTAGGCGGTGGCCTGGCCGCTGCAGCTGTCCGGCGCTGGGGGGCGGAAATCGTCGAGTCGATAGGCACAATTCGCTGTGTTCGCTAGTCTTCGTTTTATACCGTGCGCGTGGTGTGAACGTCGGTACTCGTGCATTTACAGTCGCGAAGCGCGCCGTTTCTCGCTTTGCTTGCGGGCAGGTTCACGACCGGTGCTCCCGCCGCGGTAGCGTCACCTGAGAGCTTAGCGTTAGTCTGGACCGGATTTCTGTCTTCTCATGGCGTCTAGTCAGCCAGCCGAGGCCGATGGCGGCCTGTCGGTGCGGCGGCCGCGTCCGTCCGCTTGTAGTGCCCAGCCCGGTCACGCTCGTGCGCCTCTGGTGGGGCCTAGTTTGCACTACGGCATCGGGAGAGAGCGCGGTGTGGGCGGTCATCTGTGTTGAGGCTGCGCCGGGTACTGTCGTTCTTGCTCTTATACACATATAAGGTACGTCGATTGTCGAGATTCGCAGCCATGAACGAGCCAAAGATTACTTATCTGTGCTGTGTTCTGTTGGTAGGGTGCATATTGAATGCCAGGAAGGTATGTGGATATGCCAGCTCATACCTCGTTACCTGTAATCGTTTTCGGAAGGATACGTTTATGTGGTCATGATCGCATGTTCCGTTCCGTTGCTGAAGATTCTTCATTGTTTTCGTTCCGTTATATCTTAAAAGGTTACGTCTGTTGTAGTTGCGTATCGCCCCATGTTTATTGCGTTTTACCTTACGATCATGAATACATACGAATACTTGACCGCGCATAAGAAGGAAGTTTTTTAGGTAACACGTCGAAGTTTCTTCCAAATGAGCCACTTGACGTGAACTTCTTAACATGTACTGACAGCAGCGAATATGAGGGTGAGCAAGCACTTGCCAGTCGTCATTCCCACAACACACCGCGAACCGACAGTCGATTATTCACGTCACGCGCAACACACCAGCCTGCGGGCATCGAATCTGTGCCGTGAAAGCAAACATCTTCAGATATTCTAAGCGGAGAAGTAACGTTTGGATGAGGCCAAGACTTACACGTTTTGTCTGCACACGAATGGCCTGCCCTGGTGTTGCGCTGTTTCCATGCGTTGTTGGAGACTGATATTTCTCCGAGTCTCCTAAGAATAGAAATTTTAACGCGCAGCCTTGTTTGGCGCCCACTTTTCCGCTACCCACGTCCAATCATGTCAAACTGGTTCCAGTGGTTGAGCGGAGAACGAAACGGTAGTCGTTTCTCCCTACCCGTCCGGGATATGGTAGCAATCGTGCAGAGCCAAAACCAGCGTATTTGATCGCTTTATAAATAGAATCCCGCCTGCGCGTGTGTGGATTAAGCCGGCTGTTGAAGTTGCATTGTGCTTGGAGCCCAAAACTGGGCGCGGGGAGTTGTCGGCTTGCCAGAAATAACGCTGAATGTATACGTAACAGCCTGCATATGATCGAATTGATGACGTTCCGGTTCGTTTGTTCCTTGCTTTTCACCTAGTCGTTTTGAACACCCCATCACCGTATCTGAAAGGCAGCCAAGATGATGAAGATGAAGCTTGTAGACAACGTGGTTCGGAGCTTTCGGGTTGCTAAGGTGTTTCGAGAAAACACTGATAAGATTAACAACTTGGATTTTGCTGCAAATGGAGAAAATCTCATATCCAGTAGCGATGATGATCAAATAATCATCTATGATTGTGAAAAAGGAGTGTAAGTAGCTATGAAATCCATTGACTCACGATTTTTGGTGTATTATTGCACTCCAGAGTCACACATGTATGCATGTTTACACTTTGAGTGATGTTGCAGCTCTGACATTGGATAAATGTGTGTCCATACTACTGAACACAGGCTGGAGGTGTTTGTGCCATGATGTTTACTGTGTTGAATGTGTAAGACCCGCAAGGAAGCATTGATTGTGTGCTGAGCTCGGTTTTCAATCTGAAAAAACTGTCACCTGCCAGTCATTTTATGAGTGGCTTTGACCAGCTGCCAGTTTCTGGTTGATTAGTCCATTTATTAATGAATTTTTTAGGTATGTCAACAACTGAGGCTGCTTGAGCCCATCCAACCAGTTTCTGGTGTACTGCACTAGGTATATCAGTCAGTCATGAATGTGGCGCCACTATCAGGGCACACTAGGGCAAAGGTGCTGATGCATTGCTGGTGTGGTATGTTTCATGAAGAAAGCCGTGTGCTTTGACAGCCTGTTACGTGCTTTCCATATCATATTGTATTTCATGTTAAATTGATGCATGATTTTGTATCACATTTCTGCTTACTTGTGTAAGTTTTATGTAAAAGCTAAAGCATGCAAATTTTTTCACCTCACCCTGTACTGATCTGTGATATTGAAAGCAGACAAATGCACCATGGGATGCACCAGTTTGCACCAGGATGCAGGATGCACCACCAATGAAAGGGATGCACCAGTTTGTAAACTGGACCCCAGCCTTTCCTACATGACATCTGTGTGCTTGGATCACAAACAGCATTAAGCACTCAGGAACCTCTGTCAATTTTGGAGTGAATGTGGCTTAAGGCTGATTCAGTGCCTCGCACTCAGTGTGCAACTTTCAAGTTGTGATCAGGGCTCTAGTATGATAAGTTTGTTATGTGTTGCATTCAGGCAGGAATCAAGACCTATTAGAAAGGTTTTCAGGCAGAAATCAAGACCTGTTATGAATATTTGCCCTTACCATCTTCCATAACATTTCCAGACAGAAGAGGACAGTGAACAGCAAGAAGTATGGTGTGGATCTGATCCATTTTACTCATGCCAAGAATGCAGCAATTCACAGTTCAACTAAGATTGATGGTATGGATGATGTAGTGAAAGTAATTTCATTGTGTGCTCAAGTCCCTTAAGCAAGTTGTCTATACAATATGTTTTTTTATTTGTATTACATTTGTACTGCTGTATAAATGCAGAGCAAGCTCTGTCTTGTGTAGCTGTCTTATTCAGTGACACAGAGTGCTGTTGATGGGAACATTTTGTTCAAGGCTGTTTGCATGAGCTTGGGCTCACATCTTGTTAACTGTAAATCTTTGAAAGCTCAGCGCAATATTTGCTTTGAATCATTGTGTATAACTAACCACCAACAACTCTCTTCCAAAAATACTCAATCATGTTATTGATTGCCAATGCAGTTCATCTGAATCATTTTGTTCCAGATACCATCCGGTACCTATCATTACATGATAACAAGTACATCAGGTACTTTCCTGGTCATACCAAGAAGTGAGTATTTCAGGAACAAGCTGCCCTATCTGCAAGGGCAAATAGCGAGCGCCTTAAGCGACTGGAATCCATCCTGCCATGGGTGGTTCAATAGGAAGGCAGGTGCTCTAACCAACTGAGACACCAGGACAGACATAAGCCAGACTGTGCCGCCGCGTCCCCGGGATGGGGACACCGTACTGTGTTATGGCGGGGCAGTAACCGGGCCGTGCCGCCGCGCTCCCAGAGTGGTGACATTGACACCGTACTGTGTTATGGCGGGGCAGTGATCGGGCCGTGCCGCCGCGCTCCAATGGTAGTGACACTGACACCGTATGGTGTTGTGGCGGGGCAGTAACCGGGCCGCGCCGCCGCGCTCCCAGAGTGGTGACATCGACACCGTATTGTGTTATGGCGGGGCAGTGATCGGGCCGTGCCGCCGCGCTCCAAGGGTAGTGACACTGACACCGTATGGTGTTGTGGCGGGGCAGTGACCGGGCCGCGCCGCCGCGCTCCCAGGGTGGTGACATTGACACCGTATGGTGTTGTGGCGGGGCAGTAACCGGGCCGCGCCGCCGCGCTCCCAGGGTGGTGACATTGACACCGTGTGGTGTTATGGCGGAGCAGTGACCGGGCCGCGCCGCCGCGCTCCCAGGGTGGTGACATTGACACCGTGTGGTGTTATGGCGGGGCAGTAACCGGGCCGCGCCGCCGCGCTCCCAGGGTGGTGACACTCTGCATGTCGCCGGTGGACGACTCGTTCCTGTCCGGCTCCATGGACCGCACACTGCGTCTCTGGGACCTGCGCTCGCCCAACTGCCAGGGCCTGATGCACCTGTCCGGCCGGCCGGTGGCCGCCTTCGACCCCGAGGGGCTCATCTTCGCCGCCGGCGTCAATTCGGAGAGCCTCAAGCTCTACGACCTACGCTCCTTTGACAAGGTCAGCCGCGCGACTTCCGAAGAACGCTCTCGGGCTGATAACTTACAATTGTAGGTGGTCAAAGTGATCGGGGTTTACAAGGTAATCGGCATATCACACGGTTTCATTTTTAATATTTTGATGACGTGTTTTGAGGAGTGCATGGTCAACGGTCACACCTTCGTAAGGTGTGCTGTTTATATCACTAGTATGCGTAGAGGAATTTATTCATTTAGCTCCGGAGGCAAAACTGTCTTCAAGTGCTTGATCGCAATATGCACCGAACATGCACCCTGTGCCTCTCGTCCGCCAGGGTCCCTTTACGACGTTCAAGCTGAGTCAGGAGAAGGAGTGTGACTGGACGGGCGTCAAGTTCTCCCCCGACGGCAAGACGCTGCTCGTCTCCACCAACGGCTCCATCATCCGCCTGGTGGATGCCTTCACCGGCCAACCGCTGCAGACGTTCACGGTAGGCAGAGCTCTCCCGGGCTGGCCGTCTGTTGCACGCGGTCTATGTAGCACCTCCGATAATCAGACGTCTTCTTTCCGTCCCCATTGCCCGTGCCCGGCATCACTGGAGCTGTTTCGAAGGCCACGTGCAGAGGCTCCGTCGCCCGGATGGTTTGAGGCTGTTCGCGTCGATAGCATTAGTGGCAATTAGACTCGACGTTGTTATTCCCCCCTCCACCTTCGCACACTGCTTTCACTATCACTCCTGCGACAAACGACCGAGGTGCAGTGTCCTAAACCTCATCCGGTCGGGTGTAAGGCGGGATAAATTCATGCTACCATAATCTGGGCTGCCCGTCGCCCTCCGCCGACACCTGGCGTCGGCTGCTAGTGCGTTGCCCTTTGACTCCGTCCCTGACATCTGACCTGCCCGTGCCGGCTCGGCCGCCTTCCCGCGCAGTGTTGATGGGCCGGTCTGGAGTGAGCGGTGGAGCAAGAAGTGGCAAACCCAAACCGCAGGTGTGCTAGCCTGAGTAATTATTGATATCCCTGTCCCGCCTTCTCCCCTCTAGTGGTCGAACATTGCGACACTGCCCAGGGCTAAGACGTTGGGTTTGTGTCAGTTGTGCCAGCCTCACCCTGTCTACAGCCTACAGCTGCACTTGAGCATGTCATTTGGTCTGCAGGGCGCGGATGGATGCGTTGTCCTGCCGTGCTGCGCCGAGGGCTCGATGATTGAGCAGTGCCACTATGTCCTGCGGCCGTTCATGCTGGGGGGGGGGGGGGGTCGGGCGTTATCCGTCGCTGCCGCTGACCCGCGCGGTGCGACGCCCGCCGTCCCCTGCGCTGACTGACCTGTGTCGCTCCCGGTCCCCGCAGGGCCACCTGAACAACAAGGGCATCGCGCTGGAGGCGTCGTACAGCCCCGACTCGCAGTTCGTGTTCTCCGGCTCCACTGATGGCAGGCTGCATGTCTGGAACGCCGAGAACGGCTACAAGGTGGGCCAGACGGCGCCCAGGAGGGGCAGCGCGGAGGCGTGCGTCGCATCGGACCGGCCGCTGTACAGGTCACGTGGCATCGTCAGATGTCGGAGCTCCACCGTTCTATGCCGCCGGGGTGATTAATGTCGTGGCGCCGGTCGATGTCCGCTCACACAGTTGGCGCCATTTTAGAAGGTCGGTTTGGCGCCGATGGTTCCGATAACACGCGTATGGTCGACTCAGCTGACACTGGTGCTGCAGTCGTGTTGTACTGGTGGATCGGCCTCCAACTGAGCTCTGTTCTCCGGCAGCTGTGCGTGCTGAACGCTGACCACACGGGACCGGTGCAGTGCGTGCAGTTCAACCCCAAGTACATGATGCTGGCCTCGGCCTGCACCAACATGGTGAGCGCTTTTAGCTGACGCCACGCCGTTCTTCGTATTTAGAACGCGGTGTACGTCTGCATATTATCGCGTTATTTCATTGTACTGGTCATTTAATTTTGTAACCGACAGCTGTATTTTGCAATTAATGATGGTCCCCATTAGGTTGCTGCCACGACTTCTGTTGGGGGTGTTCTACTTAATAGCAAAAGTAAGTGATCCAGTTTCTGAACCTGGCGTCGTTGATCTCAGTAAATAGGGAGCTACGTATACCTGGACGCAGTGCCATGGGCTCGCTCGGCCGTCCGACACCGTATGCAGGCGTCGAGTGCGCCTGGCGCGACCGCCCCCGGCTTGACACCTGTCCACCGACGCAGGCGTTCTGGCTGCCCAACATGGACGAGGTGGCTGCCGGACCGATGTAGCGGCTGCTGCTGACGACAGCCCGGAGAAGACCGGCCCGCGCCACTGCCGCCCGGCGGCCGGTGGCGCGCCGCCCTGTACATACCGACAGTCATGTTCATACGGCGCGCGAGGTGTCAGCGCAAACCGGGCGCTGCCGCCGTTCGGTGTCCCGCCGCCGCCGTCGGCTCGGGGACGGTCGCGCGCGACGCCGTGGTTTCTCGTGTCACAGGTTCATTCCGTTCCCGAAATATACCCGCGATGTTTTTCCAGCTGTCGTTTTCCGAGATGGTTTGGGGGGTAGGCTGCCGACGCGCCCTTCTGCTCGTGTAGGCTCCGCGACGAGACTGGCGACGACAGCTGACGACGAGCTGAACCGCCTGGTGACGTCACAGATGTCGCCGCCCTTCAGCGCACAGCCATCGGGATGGAGAGCTGTCGATGCTGCTCGAATGTGGCGCGCGTGTTCCATTCTCCGCGTCCGCTGTGCACACTGTCTCCAGGAACCTACCACGCGCAGGCGTCCTCTACAAACGGAACACGCCGTTGCTGTTAAGCCGAACTCGAAGCGTGCAGTGGCAAAACCGTGCGACTTTCCTAAACTGACCCCGCTGCACTGCATCGCGTCCCAAGCGGCAAACCATGTGGCTTGGCACACACAGACTGGTTAATGCACATGTGTATTGGGTTCGTCGCTATCTCCATCACAACGAAACAAATGGTTTCTTTTGGCACGTCGCTCATAGTTAGTATGGTTCAAACAAATTAGTCCGTGTGTGGCTTCACACCACAACACAATATTTTTCTGCTACCGGTATTGTGCCCCAGAACAGTTCTCCCCACGACAACCCATCTCGCATGTGGGAAGGCGAACGGGTCTCTGAACGGGACTAGGTCAAGCGACTGCACCATACCATACACGTCCCGCACGGGCGGGGGTCCCCTCTGACGGGTGATAAATCTCTGCGGCTCTAGATCAACAGACAACGCGGGGCGACGCCTTAGACATTACATAAACTAGCTAGTGGCTCCAACAAAAATGACTACAGAGCACCCCGTCCATGCAGCGACAGCAGCGATGTCAAACCCTGGCCGGTGGGGAAAGGACCGGGCCCCCGCGAGGCGGGGACGCGCCACTGGCCAGCAGTGTAGACGCAGAAGGATGCGACATTACACACCTGAGGACGACCCGTGCACATTCGGTTCACACAGGTCATCGGGATATTGTTGGGACCACCACAGGCCACAACTTTGTAAGAAAAAATCAGCACGTGGAACAGGACGTAGGCGCTCCTCGCCGGTTACGCATTCATGGTTTATCGTTAATATATAGAATGTTCCGGATCGGAAAACAATAAGCTATGACTGGACTGGACTCACAAACTGACCAATACGAGTTGTCTCTAACGAATCGACGGATTGAAAAGTCGAACATGTCCTGAAGCAGCTAAATGTAGTATAAGTCGACATTTTGCAATAAATAGACGATGTGCGATGAACTCATAAGACTCGTTCTTAGAAACACTTTTTAATGTACTGGTCCGGAACGAACTCAAAAATTGTAAAATACGTGGATCCGTGGGGTTAATGGATTCCGGAGTAATTGACAGGGTTGGGCTGTAATCCGCATAAGTGGGCTGCGGAGTGTCGCTGCGGGCCTCGATCTCACAGCAGCAGCGTGGCTGGACGTTATAGGTGGGGCGCCTCGTCGCTGTGGGCCTCGGTGCCCCAGCAGGAGCGTAGCAGGACGTCACAGGTGGGGCGCCTCGTCGCTGTGGGCCTCGGTACTCCAGCAGGACATCACAGGTGGGACGCCTCGTCGCTGTGGGACTCGGTCTCGGAGCAGGAGCGCACGAGGTGCTCGACCCAGCCGCCGCCGACCGAGTCCTCGAGCTGGGCGAGGCGCGGCCGCTTTCTGCTGGGCGCGTGACACCGCCAGGCCAGCCGCTCCGTCTCCGCCACCACCCGCTCCACCTCGGCCGGCTGCAACGACGGCCGCCAAGTCTCGTCAGCCGCCGGGCACCGGGTACCGCACGACCCGCTGCCTCTGGCAGACGCTGATGGCCGCGCACGACTGGCGCGCACGCCATTGACCGACCGCCATGCACTGGTATAGGGAAATCCATCTGGTTTAGGCTTGGACTGTAATTAGAGGCAATTTACTCGAGCATTGGCGAACACTTCGACAGTCGCAAGTGATGCGCATCCCGATTCTCACGACGGAGTGGTTGCAGAAAAAAACAACACTCGAAGCGTGTTCAGTTAAATTGTCAGTATTGATACCACGAGATCACCATCGGTCTGCCGTCCTCCCCACTCCGCCATCGGGCCGATGACGGTCCCTTGCATCGCTCGGCACGCCGCCTCACCTCCAGTGGCGCGGTGGAGGTGGGCGCGGGTGCGGCCTCAGCCTCGACGCCGCTGGGCACCGGCTCGCCCGTCAGGTGGGAGAAGAGCGAGCCCTGTGGCCCGCGCCGCACGCCCCGGTCGCGGCGAGGCCTCTGCTTCCGTCGCGGTCGCGGCGCCGGCTGGCTCCCATCGTGCAGACGCATGTGCTGGCTTAGTTTTTGCTGCAACAACAGAACGATGGTCATCACTGCCAGGCCATCGCCGGCAGACGCCTGCTCGGTTAAATGTTTGTCGCAGCGGCTTGGTAAACTGGCCAAATCCATTTAGGGATCAGACTGGTGGAATCGAACTGTCCTCCTCACGATTCAGTACCTTTAAGTGCTATAATGTGAAACATTCACACTGATTCAAATTCTGAAACGAATAAATTCACCAGCAATATAAAACACATTTTGAAAAAGTACGCCAACTTGTCGCTATTTCTTGATATAAGCTGAAGCAAATAAGAATACGGTACAATCTGCACACGGAGAGGAGATGGCTGAGCGGATGTTTGGTCACTCGATAGCAGCTCTAAGCCGAAGTTACCTGGCGCGATTGAGAGGGACCAGGCGCGGGAACGTCCGGTGTAATGAGCTCATCACGTGACTTCATCTCGCCATGCACGGGGCACGCCAACTACTTGGCTCTTTGCGGGGCGTCGATGACAAGCCATTGGCCAGTGGTGTCAATTCGCAGCAAAACCGACTTTGAACCGCTATGAGGTCACACAAAAATGTCACGAGGCTGCGTCAGTGTGATGGAGGGAGGGGGGGGGGGGGGGGAGGATCGAAAGGAGGACAAATAAGGTCAAGACAGGAGTCGAACAGATCGGATCTGGGGCGCGTTTTGGCGTATCTGAGGGGGTCATTTGTACAAACATACTTGGGTGGATAGCTTCTTCTTGCAGGTCTCCACAGAGCAGATAAAGCCCTTTCCTTCATGTGATGATCGGGTATGACTGATGAGGTTCCTCTTGAAATAGTAATACCTGAAAAGATGACATCTGTCCGACCGATCGCGGAAATCTTAATGAACCTGCATCACGTCCGGCTTCTTCAAGAGCCCCACGACAACGGTACACCGAAGCGCAGTCCAGTACAGCACACACACAACCCGGCGCCAACAAGCAGGGAGCCCGGATACCGGCCAGCTACCGTAACGGCCAACCGGGGGCGGACACCGACCTGGGACAGTCCTCGCATGGGCAGTGGAAGATGTCCCTGGTCTCGCCGTGCACCCGTCTGTGCACCTTCAGAGGAGATGGGGGGGGGGGGGGACACCGACCTGGGACAGTCCTCGTATGGGCAGTGGAAGATGTCCCTGGTCTCGCCGTGTACCCGTCTGTGCACCTTCAGCGCGGCTCGGCTCAAAAACGTGTGCGCACACGTCGGGCACTTGTGCTCTGAAACACACACGAAAACAACAGTGGCGTACATGTATGGATATGTTAACAGGCGTAAGCAACTGCACAGTTTAATTCTTTCAGTTATTTTTGGTGCTTGGAACATTGAACAGAACGCGCTTGACAAACATATATATGCGGAGAGCAACAGAACGTCATCACGGCGAAACAACTATTGCGAAACAAATCGCATCACTACGATATGATTTCTATTTTAATGTGACAAGTCGTTTCAAGCAAATCCGGCCATCCATCAGCCCTCCAGTGAACACCGCCATGGCGCACAGCCGACCCGCTGCCGCGCGGCTCACCCCGCGGCGCGCTGTGCAGCTGGCGTCGGTGCTGCAGCAGCTGCTTCCAGCTGTCCAGCTGGGCGCCGCAGCCGTCGCTGGGACAGCGGTACTTGTCGTGCTGGCGCTCGTGCGCCTTCAGCTTGCTGGGCAGCAGGAATTCGCGGTGGCAGCCCTCTCTGGAGCACCTGAAGTGGCATGGAGTAGACGTGCCATCCGTCACCGGCCGACAACCGGGCAAGCAGTGCGGTCACCAGCTGACAGACGGGCCAGCAACGCGGTCACCAGCTGACAGACCGGGCAGCGGCGCGGTCATCGGCTGACAGCCGGGCCAGCGGCGCGGTCACCGCCGCCGCCGCCAAACCCGCGCCCCTGGACCTCGCGAGTGACGACTGGCTCATCCAAACGCTGATCATGTGATGTGTCAGATCGCCTCCGTCACCGAACTGTCATCCGTCACCGAGGAGATGCCGGTCAAAGCGAGCCCACCGGTTACTGACCCGTAACGCGACCCGGCCACCCCGGCCAGGTCCAGCCTCTCTCCCATCCCCCGCTTGGCTTGGGGCCGGTCTGGCAGAGCAGCCCACCTGAATGGCTTGATGCCCGTCTGGCAGAGCAGCTCACCTGAATGGCTTGATGCCCGTCTGGCAGAGCAGCTCACCTGAATGGCTTGATGCCCGTCTGGCAGAGCAGCCCACCTAAATGGCTTGGGGCCCGTCTGGCAGAGCAGCCCACCTGAATGGCTTGATGCCCATCTGGCAGAGCAGCTCACCTGAATGGCTTGATGCCCGTATGGCAGAGCAGCCCACCTGAATGGCTTGATGCCCGTATGCTCGTGCTGGTGGATTTTGAGATGCTGGCGCTTAGCGAAGCCGCGGTCGCAGTGGCCGCACACGTGCTGTCGCCGCCGGTGGGAGCGCGCGTGCTTCTTGAACGTGTCTGCCGTCTTCAGAATCTTGTCACAGCCCTCCACTGGACACCTGGCGGCCCAAGGGGTCACACTGGGTGGAGGCCAATTTGGCGGCTCTGTGCAGCAATCACTGGCAGATTTAAAAAGACCTGGACACAAATTAAGTACTTGATATGTAGCAAAATAATATACCCTAAACTGCTACCAGACCTCAATGCCCCTGTCATGCTTTCTTTTGTTATGGAAGGAAAATAAACAATAGACAGCAAAACCACATCAAAATGTATTTGCTGGTTTTCTCTGCATGCCACAATAATCAACAAAGTAGTACATTCAAAACAACATCATTTAAGAGTTGCCCAAAACCAACAAAGCATCACCCCTAAACACCGTCCCTAGCACCACAGGGAGGGGGTGCGATGGCACTTGGTTCACCTGAAGCTCTCCCTGCACTGGTGACTGCAAGCTCTGATGGGCGAACGTCACGTGGCGACGCAGATGCTGCTGACGTGAGTACGACTTGTCGCAGCCAGCCCAGCTGCACACGAATGGCCTCTGTCAGGAGAAGGCCAAATGTGCAGCATGTCAGTGCTTTTTACATAGCATTCTGGATATGATTCCCAAATGCTTTGGTTTAAGAATGGCAATGTTTGAAAACAACGGTGCATGTGTCTGTCTGTCTGTGTGACTCCGTGTCCGTCTGCCTACTATGCGATGACCAGCAGCAAACTTAGCATATAGTCTTGAATCGTCCCCAAGGTCAGGTGAGATGACACTGTAGCAGAAATATGAAAATGCCCTCTACTATACAAGGCTTTACTTAGCTCAACTGAGCCTTACTTGACAGAAGGCGTCTGAAGACAACTGTGAATGATGGATGCCAGCAACCATATCACAAAATCACCACATCCACCCCCGCCTACCAGTTAATATCACATAACAACAGAAACACTCGAACACTCCTACTTGCACTTTGACTGTGTGTCGTGATTAGCGATAGAAGGCTCCGGTAACAGAGTGCATTACGCAGCCACTCGGGCGTTACCCACGCTTTACACGCTCATAGCCGCGCAATGACCATTTACATGGCGTGGTCCCGGAAACACCCAGTCACGCTTGTTTTACGAGAGGAGCGTCGCAACTGACTCGCCGGAAGACTCGGCGGAGACACTTTGTTCTTTACAAACAGCTGCGTCTGTATCTGAAGGCACCGGCACTGGCGGACGTGGGGGTGGTGCAGAAGGCACCTCTATCATGTGGTCGGGCACAGAGGGGACATCAGGAGGTGGAGCATTCAGTGCAGCTGGCACCTCTGAAAGTGAAGTGTCTCCAGGGTCAGTTGCGTGACGCTCGGCCGGAGAGGCGTCCCCGCGAGAGGCTCGATGCCTCAGCGACAGTGGTCTCACGGCCGTCAGCTAAACGAACATGGCGTACTCAAGGCTTGCTTCCAACAACTCGACCGCATCGACAAGAGGTCCGTACTTACTACTACGCACATGTCTCCTCCTGAGAACTCTGCCCGGGGAAGCTAGCCACGTCGGCACGATATGACCACTGGTCGAGTGACGCTGACATTGAAAAAGATGTTCCTGCGGCGTAACATTGATGGCGGTACACAAGAGGCCACGGATGGAATGGAGGGCATCCGGAAGGATCTCTTCTCACTGCTAAGTTTTTAGACCGCGCGATCGTAGCACCAGAGACACGGCCCTCCAGATAGTGCCGTTGTACCGCTCTACTTGGCTGTTCCCTCCCGGGTTAAAAGCTGCCGTGCGGCTGCACACTATTACGCGACTGTGTGGAAACTGGCTCAGCCCCGCCGGCCTGAAGGTCGGGCCACGGTGGGAATGCACCAAGGCAGGCATGCTGAATATGGCAAAGAGGCGACACAAGCATTCAATAGCAGTGGTAGACGTCAGATCGGCGCACGGAAAAACGAACGGAAATCTTGAAAACTCGCCTACAATAATGAGCATGTGTCGATTTCGATACGAGGCGGTCAGCGGCCCCTTGAAATCGATGTTCAGTCTTCAAAAGGCTGAGCCGCCTTAATAAGCGTCCCTTGGGAAGGTACATGGAACTGTGGTTTCATCTCTGCACACACAGGACGCGAAATGGTCGTGTTCTTTCTGCCGCTTACAGAGAATGGCAAATTTTTGCACTGCACGAAATGTGACATTCGGGTGATGCCGGGGTGAAAGAACAATACGTGTAGGCCTATGAGAGTGGTCCCATCGACAGTGGCACAGTAGCTTCGAGAGAAGGCGTTTGCTGCAGCATTCTCTGACCCCGGACGAGAGATGATGTCGTACGAAAAACAGGAGAGCTCAATACACGCCAACGCGTGACCTTCTCGTTTTTTTAAAATATTTTTCCAGGTTGCTTCGCGTCGTATATCAAAGCGACCGATCTTTAGCCGGTAACCAGCTGAAAATTCCGGCTCAGCAGTACCTGCCCCCACTTCCGCAGTGCTTCAACTATCGCGTAAGCCTCGTTCTCAACGGCTGAATGACGGCATTCGCTATCCCACAGGGTCCGTAAAAAGAAAGCCATAGACCTACCGTTCTGCAAAAGCGTCGCTGCGACTGCGTAGTCTGAGGTATCCGTCTCCAAGACAAAGGGGGACGTGCCGTCTATGGCGGTGACAACAGTTTTCTCTACATCTCGTTTCAGCTTATGAAAGGCATCAGTAGCTGCCTGCTTGAGTGGGAACGTGCTGCTGCTGCTGCTGTGCTGATCCGTCCAACAAGTGGACGGATCTTCTCTGGGAACCCTGATATCCAACGAGAGTAGTGCAAGAACATTCCCAGCGCATGACGAAGGGAGGCGATATCGTGCGGCAGGGGAAGGTCCATGAGCGGTTTCAGGTCCTTAGCATCTGGCTTAATGATACCATCGGCTATGCTGTAGCCCAGGAGGCTCACAGACCCCTTACTGAAGGTACACTTATCCTTGTTGAAGGTTTAGTGTACATCTTTGCTACTGCGAGGAAGCGCTCTAGGTGCTCGTCATGTTCAGCCTTCGTCACGCCACACGCGGTGCCATTGTCCACACACGTGAATGCGTCCTTGGGTCGCTCGTCTTTAATGATGGCGTCGATCATCTTTTGGAAGGCAGAAACCCCATTGGTGACCCCAAAGGGGATCCCACCGAACTGATAAAGCTTACCACCAGCCTCAAATGCTGTATAAGGTTTCTCATCATACTTGATAGGTGTCTGATGACACACGCTGCGGAAGTCCAGAGTGTCGCACACTTTGTAGCAAGCTACCTTTCCCACCTGTTTGTCTATGTTAGGGAGAGGATAGGCATCCAACACGGTGAAACGATTTGCCATATGAGTCGTCAATCACCATATGTTTCTTGTGATTCTCATTGGCTGTGGCAACTACCTGGGCCTTCCATGGGAAATCACTGAGCTCAATGACCCCCACTGCCAAGAGTTTGTCTGTCTCAGTCTTGATGAACTGAGTATCAGATCTGGCATGCTGCCTGGATTTCACAGCAACAGGTTTGCAGTCTGGGGAGAGGCTCCCAAACAAGGTTGGTGGAGCTACCTTCACAGGAGCCAGACCACACACTATGAGAAATGAGCTCACCCAAATGGGATCTCTACACTAGCATGTTAAATGAGGACATAGTGATTCAGGATCACATCAGCCCATGCACAAGTGATGAAGAACTGTCAGTTGCACATCAGTATACCAGTGTATGTATGTTAATAGAGCACAATGTTTGCAATGCAGCAACCCTGGACTGCAGAACATAGTGACAAAGAAACCATGGAAACCTGACTGTTAGATGGGAATGTCTCCTAAATAAACTGCAGCACAAGTATAAAAATGCCTTTCACTATCCAAGGCTTTATTTAGCTCAGTTGAGCCTTACTTAACAGAAGGCATCTGAATACAAATGTGAATGATGAATGCCAGCAACTATGTCACAAAATCACCACAGATACATGCTCTTCCCTGCCTTACCTCCCCAGTGTGAGTGCGGTAATGGATCTCTAGTCGGTCGGGTCTTGAAAACTTTGCATGACATCCAGCATGCTCACAATGGTACTCATCTTTAGGTGTAGACATATCAGCATCACTGAAAATGAAGGGAAGATAACTGAAGCATAGAAAAGACTGCATAATTGCTTGATATGTAAATTAAACTGTTTTCACTACACTATTTCAACACTATTTCACTAAGATGTGCAGAAATTCACATAAATTTCCACTATTATAATTTAGCTCACTGGCAGCCTCTCTACATGTATGGCTGGTTGGCTGCTAATCTGCTGCCTTTGACCCCAAAGCCTGACAATTCACTCACCCAGCTAAGTTCCCAACCACAATTCACCTGAATGCTGGGTTGACCTCTGCCTGGTTCAATGCTGATTGGCCAGCATCCAATCATGCATGAAAAATGGTTCCAAAAATTTGTACCAGGAATCCCTTCACATGACCATAATTATTCAAATATTGGTTTTCTATCGGTATTCTTCAAGTACTTCACCTTTTTTAGAAGAACACAAATCTCCACTGCGAGCGTTTTACGCGCAGTGCGGCACGGGCTCAACCAGCTCGCGTTAGCAGGATTGCCCAACTTTGAAATCATACAATCCAAACGACATCTTTAGCACCAAAAATAATGAGCAGGCAATTAACATTATTCACTACGTCGTTTCGACCACTGCTACTCACAATGTTCGCATGATTGCCCATCATCTTCAAGAAATCACCATCTCATAATATAATAATTTCGGCCGCAAACAGGCCATATGATTTTTAACATGCAGACAGCCGACGATTTATAGCATGTACTAAAAGGGCAGCATAAGCACCAAATTACGTACATTCGAGCAATCAAGAAAAGTATTCCAGTTCTTTACATTTGTGTCTCAAATTGATATTTCCAAACAGACAGCACAGAGAAAAACCCAACAATGTCAATGGAACTGAAGCATTTCCAGCAGTCTTAAAAAACGGACCAAGCCACGGGAACCAAACACCGAAGCCAAGCCAACGCTTTCGGTACGGTACATTGACGTCTATTAGCGTAGTGCATCCCATACATGAGTCCTGGATAATGTGATTCACACTTATTAGGACCAAACACATCGTGACGACATTGTCGCTTAAACTACAACACTTGGGTTCAATTAATATGACTACTCCGTTGTCGTGACATGCTGCCATCATGTCGTGCAGAGGGACTGTCGTAGCACCCTCTTAAAGTAGTGCACCTATTGTACAATTTCAACGAGCAAGGCTTGATATCGCTCTGACATCCAGAGACATACTCTGCCGAGATATTATGCCAACAGCCACCCCAAGGAAACGGATCAAGCCCCGGGAAACGAAGACTGAAGCAAGGCCAGCGTTTTCGGTACGGTACATATACGTCTATTAGCGTAGTGCACCTTACACACGAGTCCGGATCATGCGATTCACACTTATTAGGACCAAACACATCTTGCTGATGATGTCGGTGGATATGCCAGACCACGGTCCGATGAATAAGACTCATGCATTGCCGTCAGATGTTGCCATCATTGGCGGACGGACTGCAAGTAGTACACCTTTCAAAGTTGGGCAATCCTGCTAACGCGAGCTGGTTGAGCCTGTGCCGCACTGCGCGCAAAACGCTCGCGGTGGAGATTTTTCTTCTTCTAAAAAAGGTGAAGTACTTGAAGAATACCACTGTTACCACCATGTGACTGCTACATCAGACATGCTTGGCGTTTGGTGCATCATGTTTTAACCCACATCATGCTACAAGGTCATACCCCTGCACCTGCAAACATATATAGCTACACACGCAACGTGCATCGTCGACAGGTTCAAGCTTGTCTAGTTTGTTGGTCGTTCATTGAAGCTTCACCAAGATCACTATCATTGTCGCGAAATGGAATCCAAAATGTAACGGCAACGAATCGCACTGATACGCAGGATTCACCCACCCCCGCGGACCCTCGCGAGCCGCACGCGAGTTTGCAATCGCGTGCCTCGTGTGTGCCACTATCCATGCAAATGTACCAAGTATTTGTCTTTGTAACCTCTTAAACGTCTCTAAATGGTGCGCCCATATGTGAGCTCCAAGGATATGGTAACACATGTCTACCATCGCAGGAAGGAAATTAAGAGACTGCCTTTAAAGCGAACGCAGGTTGTAAACAGCTGTATCGTCTTGGTGAAAAGAGCTCCTGGGAGTACTTTTGGAAAGCGCAGAAGACTAAGACCAAATAATAACGTGATCAACAGAGGTCATGCGGACCTGCAAGCATGACGACTGGCTTCCCATCATGATTTCGGGTCAATCTTCACGCACAATCACTCCAAGACTTCTCATTTACTGCCGTCTGGGCGTATACCTTACACCACTGCCAGACCAATGGATTTAAGTCAAGTGAAAACAGGCTCCGTAAATAGCTTCTCTATCTGAGGCCTGCTTATCATCCATGACGAGAAGGGAGCTGCGCAATGCACGGAGGGGACCATCCCTTTTATCCAGTTGGCACGGGTATTCAGTATCCGCTTACCTCTGACCAGGTAGCTACGACAGACGTCCACAAGTCCAGGACTCCATGTCAACGGGTAACCGGAGATTCCAAAAAATAGCCCAATGAGTGTCAGCTGCTCCCCAAAGTTGCTTTAGACGGTGGCGTTATCCCACACTTTCCGTCCAGCTACTGATCACAGAAACCCAGCACAGAGCAATAAATACGCGGCACTCGAGCGCGATCCGAGCGGAGCCGCTGCAGAGTGACGGCAGGGGAGCACGGTGTCCATCCATAGCTGCACCAGTTGGACGGACAGCCGGCAGTGCAGTCTCCCTGCAACGAGGTGTTCCACCACACACACGCATATCTCCAAAAATATATAGTTGCAACATGGAACAGGAATGTTGTTATCAAGCTGCATGATGCTTAAGCAGTTGAAGACATCTCTGAGGCAGTGGCACAAACAGATCACATATTTGCTACAAGACTGCAACACGCCTATCTCAAGCAACATCACACACTTGGCAAATGTCTGACCTCCGTCTGGTCGCAAACATCGTGACCTGCATACAAAAACAAACACTGCACCCTGCATACAAACATTGCATCCTGCATACAAAAACAGTGCACGGAATTGGAGGTCGCAAATAGTTCGCAACCCCACAGGACGACAAAAGTAACGTTGTACTTTGAACCGCTCCAGCCAACAATGATCACAAGCACATACCCTAGCCTGGGTGCAACCATATCAAATTCAACGTACCACAGAGGAAGCACAGCGACGGCCGACCCTGTGGTGCCAAACGGTCGGCCCGGGCATACACACGCCCTCCTCCAAGCCAGTGCTGCCATCTCTCCTGCAGGCCACACGGACACACCAGCGCGCACGTGGGTGACGTCCGTGAGCCGGCGGACACGGATGTGGGCGCCGTCCGTCCGCTGACGATAGTGGCGGCGGGAGCTCGATCACGTGCGGACCAGGGTGCGTCCCATGGCGTCGGGCAGGGCGTGGCCCGTGTCGGCGAACCACGGCTTGTCGGCGTCGCCGTACGGCGTCAGCGGCAGCGAGAACGGCAGGCTGATGGCGCCCGGGGCCGGCGTGTCTCCGTCCGCCGCCCGCAGAAACTCGCACCCCTGCCGGACGCGCGCAGACGGTGACGGCTGCTCATGCGCCGCGACAGGCTGTCGGCACGGGTGTACTTAGGCGGACAAACGCCACCAGGCTCGGAACACACAACCCAAAGCATTGCAAGTTAGTACCCATCGATTCTTTGATGTTAAAACGTCTGACGTCATATTACCGCTATCCAAGGTCAGTTAATTCCCCAGCTTTGATTCTGTGACACACGAGAGTCTTGAGCATGGACTAGATGGGGGCCGCGCGCGTCTGTCATCTGCCGCACAAACCGATTGCGAATGCCTGTGCATAAAGACCCAGAACAATGTTCTTTTCTTACCGACACCGCGCATCAACACGTAGCAGAGCATCGCAAACACGCCGCACATGCTGAGTTATAAACAATGATCCAAATGTCGTACCAGCATTTTCGGGATGAACAGCACACCGGCCTCGTAGGAGCGGATGAAGAGCTGCTGCCCCTGCTTCTCGGTGGCACCCCAGGCCGCCTTGGAGAGGTTGGCCGAGGTCAGCATGAACCAGGCCATGCGGGTGAGGTCGGCAGACAGCTGGGTGTACGTCTTGATGTGCGGCATGGCGCCGCTCCGACCACGCGACTCGCTCCGCCACTGGCTGGAGAGGAGCAAGCGCAGCGGCGTCAGAACAGGAGCAAGCGCAGCGGCGTCAGAACAGGAGCGAGTGCAGCGGCGTCACTACAGGAGCGAGTGCAGCGGCGTCAGAACAGGAGCGAGTGCAGCGGCGTCAATACAGGAGCGAGTGCAGCGGCGTCAGAACGGGAGTGAGCGCGGCGGCGTCAGAACAGGAGTGAGCACAGCGGCGTCAGAACAGAGCGAGCGCGACGGCGTCAGAACAGGAGTGAGTGCAGCGGCGTCAGAACAGGAGCAAGCGCAGCGGCGTCAGAACAGGAGTGAGCGCGGCGGCGTCAGAACAGGAGTGGATGCAGCAGCGTCAGAACAGGAACGAGCACAGCGGCGTCAGAACAGGAGCGAGTGCAGCGGCGTCAAAACAGGAGAGGCGCAGCGGCGTCAGAACAGGAGCGAGCACAGCGGCGTCAGAACAGGAGCAAGTGCAGCGGCGTCAGAACAGGAGCGAGCGCAGCGGCGTCGGAACAGGAGCTGGCCGCGTGCCGCCCTGCAGCCGCGGGTAGAGCGAGCCCCCTGTAGGTGCCATGCGATGGCACGCCGGATCGCTCGACGGACGTATGTAAAATGCAAAATAATTGAGTCAATGGCGTACCTAACGCTTACGTGTGACTACAGAGCAGGATCCGTATTCATACAACAGAACACCTCCCTGCTCTCATCATGCCTGCCTCCAGGATCGCCGTGGGCAAACCTGCACGCCTGGCTGTACATCAGGGACGCCTCGGCGGCCGCCGTCTCAGCGGGCGACACTCACTGCAGCATGTCGCGCAGCCACAGCTGCTGCACGTGCGTCTTGTGGTGGTAGGGCAGGCACGAGCCACCGTCGTAGCCCTCCACGCTGTTGCGCACGTTCTCCTCGGTGGGGTAGATGACGGTGGCGCGCGCGGCGCTCGGCCCGCCCGTCAGGCTCTCGCGCAGCTCCCCCAGCAGCCACTGGTCGGGCCCGGCGCCCAGCCGCCCTGGGAGCGGTCAGCACAGCCATCACACACCGGCAGTCATCGGCCGGGCCCGGCACCCAGAAGCCCTGGGAGCGGTCAGCACAGCCGTCACACATCGATAGTCACCGGTCGGGCCCGGCCACCCTGGGAGCAGTCAGCACAGCCGTCACACACCGGCAGTCATCGGTCGGGCCCGGCCACCCTGGGAGCGGTCAGCACAGCCGTCACACATCGGCAGTCATCGGTCGGGCCCGGCCGCCCTGGGAGCGGCCAGCAAAGCCGGCACACATCGACAGTCATCGGTCGGGCCAGGCCGCCCTGGGAGCGGTCAGTAAAGCCGGCACACACCGACAGTGCCCAGGAAAACCCCGAGGGTCGGTGCTGATTATACGTCAATAATTGGAAAATACGTCGACGCTTTCGAAACGAAATTAAGCAACATTTAAGTACACGTACTGAGCCCGTCACAACATCGACTATGAGTAAGGCATGTAAGAAATTACATTACATACTCCTGAACCGCATACTATGCTTTATGTCACGCGCCTAGCTCATCCAGAAAGAAGTTATACTTCAGAGCGCAGATTCCAAAAGATGGGGAGTACTCTGAAGACGATCTCACGCCTGCGGCAACGTTCCAGTGCAGTACCCAGGGTAAAACACCGCCCACGGATTACGGCACCGCAGATCCAGACCTGCCGCGCGACAGCGGGCCGTACCGATGGAAGAGCACTGGATGACCAGGTTCCAGTTCTTCCTGACGGCGTGCTTCTGCAGGAGCCGGCGCACGCGGCGGTGTCCCCACAGATCCATGGCAGCGCTCTGGTACCGGCCCGGCACCGAGCCCACGAAGAACACACTGCCGGCAGGCGGCACACATCAGGTCAGTCGGGCAGGCACCGGCGGCGAGGCGGCAGCACTGGCCATCGCCTGAGCCGGACACGGCCGGACACAGCCGGGCACGACCGGATACAGCCGGACACAGCCGGATATAGCCGGGCACGGCCGGATACGGCCGGGCACGGCCGGATACAGCCGGGCACGGCCGGATACAGCTCGACACAGCGGACAAAGCTGGGCACGGTCGGACACAGCCGGACCGCGGCCGGCCTGACACCGCGTGAGGGCAGCACTGAGCTCATGTGTAACGGCATACCACTCGGCCATTCGAAGGATAGTTCAGTCCAGCCCTCTGTTCGGCTTCATTGTCAGCTGTCATATGTTCCAAGAGATGCATGAAATACACTGCAAACCAGTCCAGTCTCCCATTCCGAACTATGCACATTCAAGACAATGTTTATGGTCTGACTAGACCTATCCCCTCGGGTGCAGGCTTACAATAGCTGCCTCCCGCCAGACCGACCGCACAAGCGGCGGGTACCCACCGAACGGCGCTGAAGTCGTGTCGGGCCACCAACCCCCGCCAGACCGACCGCACAAGCGGCGGGTACCCAACGAAAGGCGCTGAAGTCGTGTCGGGCCACCACCTTCCGCCATACCGACCGCACGAGCGGCGGGTACCCACCGAACGGCGCTGAAGTCGTGTCGGGCCACCAACCCCCGCCACACCGACCGCACGAGCGGCGGGTACCCACCGAACGGCGCTGAAGTCGTGTCGGGCCACCACCTCGAGCCAAGGCGTCAGGCAGCGCAGCTTGTAGGCCGCCAGGTAGCGACTCAGGTCGGAGCGGAACCCGGTGGGCGCCTCACCGTCGCCGGCCGAGGCCTGTAGCGGCGGCAGCAGCGGGCTCACCCACAGACCTGCACACGTGCGCCAGACGTCCGTCATCACAGGTCAGTGGCGCGCGGCGGTCCCAAACACAGTCAGGTAGGTGGTAAGGGTGTCCACGAATACGTGCTACAGGAGCCCTTGTTCAGCGGCATGTCACATTCCTACTCCCATCACTTGTGGCCGATCGGTAATGGGCAGAGGACGCGGCAAAGCGGGTGTATAATCGCCCCACACAACACAAATCGGAGCAGGTCACCGACAGGACCTGCGAGGGGTCAAGGTTCAGCTGGATGGCGGTCGATGACCCGAGGTGGCTACTCTAAGCTGAGGTAGGACAAAGTTGGACGGCATGAATTTCTGTTCACATCCTTGCAACCTATTTGACTGAACCTGCGGACCCTTGATGGCGATAAAGTCACACAGATGGCTGCAGAGAAGTCTGTAGCCATGCATCAACCAGACATTTCAGCAGGATCGTCAATTTGGATCGCAGCCTCTTTCGTATCGTCGCCAAGAACGGTAAGTGCGCATGCGTGCACGTCACATGCAAGGCATACTTCTCGCGCCACACAAGTATACACTGCATGGAAGCGTTAATGGGCGGCCTCATCAGCCATTTACCCTGCGTCTTGTCTTGCCAGTCCTCGTCCACAAGGTTCGAGGTGTGGATGACCACGCGTATGCCTTCCGTGTACTCGAACAGCATCATCTTGGTGTGGTGGGTGCCGAATGGGTAAGGCATGCTGACCTTCTGAACCGTGACGTTGCTCTGGGGAGCACTGCACAAACAGACAAACATTACACAATATCGATGACGAAAAATACATCCCGCTTTCATGGGATGAAAGGGGGTGCAAGCTGGTGGGGGGTGGGGTGAAACAAACACAGTGTAACACAACCCTTGATAGGAAACACCAGAAGCTGAACCACACTTTCACTTCACATATCTTATTCCTGACCACATTCTCGTCACTATGTGGGCACCATCCAAGCGTGCGGGCACCATCCGCGCAGCCGGACACACCTGCCCGCATCTCCAGCCGGGACGTATCACGGCCGGCCAGCGCCGCGGCCGCGCCGCCGAGCGTGCGGGCACCATCCGCGCAGCCGGACACACCTGCCGCACCTCCAGCCGGGACGCGTCACGGCCGGCCGGCGCCGCCGAGCGTGCGGGCACCACCGCGCAGCCGGACACACCTGCCGCACCTCCAGCCGGGACGCGTCACGTCCGGCCGGCGCCGCCGAGCGTGCGGGCACCACCGCGCAGCCGGACACACCTGCCGCACCTCCAGCCGGGACGCGTCACGGCCGGCCGGCGCCGCGGCCGCGCCGCCGAGCGTGCGGGCACCATCCGTGCAGCCGGACACACCTGCCGCACCTCCAGCCAGGACGTATCACGGCCGGCCGGCGCCGCGGCCGCGCCGCCCACGTCACCTGAACGGGTCAATGCCGTGCAGCACGGTGAGCGGCTTGTGCTGGTGACCGTACACGCCGTAGGCCTCCAGCAGCCAGTCCAGGTCCACCAGGAAGTTGAGCTGCAGCGACGCCTTGAGCTCGCCCAACGACGGGTCCAGCAGCTCCACTAGGCCCAGCGACAACCGCTCGCGCCACGTGCTCTTCACCGAGCGCACCTGGCGGCCGTCGGCGGGTTACGGACGCCCTTGGCGAGATGGAGCAGCCGTCACAGGTGCACTGCTGGACGACATCCATCCATAAAATGTACTTTCCATCCCTTTACTGTACGGCTGTGGGCTGCTGACGTGGCGAGCTCCATGGCATGACGTATTTGAGAAAATCACGTGTCATATGTCAGGACGTCTACTGCCTGCGTCTGGGCTTTGCAGGGTGTGCAAATAAATGTCCCAGCTCTCAGCCGCCCCCCAAATCAGAATTACCACCTGTTACACTGCGCCGACTGAGGTCGACCGCTGGCCACTGCAGTACCACAGGCCCAGAGAAAGACACTGGCTGCCCACGCGGCTGGCAGAGTAGACCCAGCGGACGGCGGTGAGAGCTAGGCGCGCCGGGTGGGCCAGGCTGTTCACAGTGCGCGGCAGGTAACGGCGTGTGAGGTAACTGGTGACACCGTATCTCTGGCCCGCTTATAAGGTGAACCGTTCATGAAAAATGTTGGAGTTGTCGATGACAAAGGTTAGGATTCTTGAGGACAATGGCTGGAGCTGCTGGTGACAAAAGTTAAAGTTCGCAAAGGACAGGGTCGTGCTGGCTTCTGATATGGGTTCTGGCATAAGGCGTGTATGTGACAACGCCGACTAATACTTCGCAGTCATGTCAAAGGATCACGTTGGACTAAGACACTTGAAACGGATTCCGAGGTTTCCCTAGTTCCACCGAGCACCTCGAACAGTGACGACAATACGCTGCTAACTTAAGAAACGGTGGTTAAGAATGCTAGACTACTAGTCTAGTGTAGACTAGACCGGACTAGAACAAGACTTCTTAAGAATAGATCTTTTACGTTTTATGCACCACAAAACCATGCTTTTGCATGCCCTCGCTGCAGCTCAGCCATTGTACGCGAGAAGGGACATTACCTTCGTCAAGAAAAACGAGATGGGTTCGGCCTGCTGCAGCCGGTCCTTGACAGTTGTCTTGCGATGGAGCGGCGCGCCGTGGGCTGGCGCGGAGCCATCGTTAGTGGCCGAGGCCACCGTCGACGCGCCACCTTCAGTGGAGACAGGGTAACGTCGCAAAACACATGAGATCGGACACATGCGAAGTCAACTACGAGGTTCAACTTTGACTTCTTCAGCAAACCCATAGTTAGTTAAATAAGTATCACTTTAACCCTGCCATTTTAAAATGGCATATTGAGAACACCCGTGCCATAGCTCAGCTGTGTCTAATCCAGGTTTTGGATTTTGCAAGAGCAAAATAAAGAAGTGAAAGATTTACATATCAATGGCACGGCACTGGGGTTAACACATTACAAAGCAAAGCAAACAAAACCGAGCGTCTCAAGGCTTTCCCGATCGACAGGTCAACGTCTAGAAACGGCAGGGGGATCGGCTGATAGCGACGACTGACTAGTTTGGCTTACGACTAGTGGGGGACAACGACAGCACGCGACACAGGAACAGCTGCACCGACACCGGCCCCAGCAGATCACGGCAGCACGCGAGGCAGGGACAGCTGCACCGACACCGGCCCCAGCAGATCACGACATGCAACGCGAGACAAGGGACAGCTGCACTGACAACTGGCCCCAGCAGGTCACGACAGCACGCGACACAGGAACAGCTGCACCGACACCGGCCCCAGCAGATCACGACAGCACGCGAGGCAGGGACAGCTGCACCGACACCGGCCCCAGCAGATCACGACAGCACGCGAGGCAGGGACAGCTGCACTGACACTGGCCCCAGCAGGTCACGACAGCACGCGACACAGGAACAGCTGCACCGACACCGGCCCCAGCAGATCGCGGCAGCACGCGAGGCAGGGACAGCTGCACCAACACCGGCCCAACAGGTCATGACAGCACGCGACACAAGGACAGCTACACCGACACCGTCCCCAGCAGGTCACGACAACACGCGACACAGGGACAGCTGAAAGGTGGACGGACCACCAGGTAGCCACCTGCCGTCGATGACCCCTCCGTTGCCTCCGGGTGCGAGAAGCGCTCTGTGTGGTTGGGCATTGTCGCGCCGGTAGCAGCGCGTGCCATACCGGCATGCCCGCCTCGGTCCGTCGCTCCCACCGCCAGCTGGCGACCGGTGGAAAAGTACTTTTGTTTCAGCTTGCGCACGCCAGTGGGCCATTGAGCCAGCACCTGGCGCCCTAGTGTTACAGAAGCGAGCCGGTAAACGTTAAGGAAATGCTGTAAGGTTTAGCGACAACCAGTACTAGCGCTGATGACAAGAAATGCGAACGTTGGGAGCTTGTGTGCTGGTTTTGAACTGGAGCAATAAGAGGGTTAAAAACAACACACAGTTGCCTCCCCCAGC